GCTTTATTGTGTAAGGGGAAACTTACACCAGCAAGAGCAGTGAAGGCATGGTTCCTCCTCATCCTCCCGTCATCACACAGAAAGGGCACCACTGGGTTAGCAGTGTACTGGTGTGTGCTAATGGTGGTTCCCCATCTTGTTGCTCTTCCTTCTTGAAGTAAAAGTGTGAAAGCAACCTTGTCAGAAAAATAAGCAATCTGCTTAGTGCCAGAAAATCTGGATTTGGGTAGCCAGTTGTTATAGAAGCTGGCTGGAAAGGCCAACTGACCAACACCTGGGACCTTGGAGCCCATGGGATGTATAGTTCCCACTGCTAGAAGGACAGTCACCAATTCTGTGAGAAGCAGGGTTTATGTGAAGCACTTTCTGTTGGAAGAAATTAAAGAAACCTTCTTTTCCCAGCTAGCTTGTTGTCCAGGCAACCTAGATTTAACTCCTAGGGTAATTTTGGGCAACTTTTCCTATAAGAAGACTGATCACATTACCCAGTTTGTCCAGGGAAGTCCTGGTCACTGCAAGCAATTAGTAATAGTGCCCCCATTCACTCTCTAAAGTGTCATTGTTTTATTCCCTAAATACTCAGGCCCTAGGCTCAGTCCTTAGGACATAGTAGAATCTCATTAAATACATATTGAATAAATGAATTTTCTAGAAGGTCTACAATTCAGTTTGATTTTTTTTTAGCTCAAATTTTAGATTCACTTTTATTCATTCATTGCTAGGTTTCAGGAAATATAACAATTAACAATAAGTATATTGTTTCAACAATTAACAATATAACAATTAAGTAAACCGGAAGTTAGTTACGCCCTATTCCTATATGTACCATTTATTCATCTAATATTTCTTGAGCATCTACTATCTGACAGGCACTGTGCTAGGTGCAGGAAATCAGTGACTAGTAAGCAAAGGAAACACATCTGAAAAAAGTTACATAATGATGTGAACAATACTATAAGAGATAGACACAATACATACAAATTTGCAGAGAGAAGGGACCAAATTTTGCCTGGAGTAGTCACAGGCTTCAAATAGGAGCTGATATTTGAGAAATGTTTTTAAAAATGAGTGAGAGTTCACCTGGCAATCAAGGTAAAGAAAAGAATTCCATGCACTGTAGACATAGAAGGGATAATGGTGATAATGATTTATCCACTAACATAACATTATATGAGAAAATAATAGACACACAGTGTTTGTGTGCTATGATTTATTTTAAAGTATTTACATTAACTCAATTTTCAACACATGAAGAGAGTTCTATTATTATCCCCACTTTTTAAAAATTCTTTTGGTAGCTGGCCAACACTGGGATCTGAACCCTTGGACTTTGGTGTTATGAGCATACCGCACTCTAACCCAAGCTAATGGGCCAGCCCTATAATCCTACTTTTTAAGAGGAAACTAATAGCTCAGAGATTATCAGTTAGTAAGCCACAAAGGAAGCAGTCCTGCTTCAGAATTCTTTGTCTTAACCAAAGATCTTAGAGATCACCTATTGATGCTGTCTCATTAAATACAAATTTTAAATGGCTCTTTGAGCAGTAATATTAGGTCAAGGAGAGAATCTTTGATCCCTTTTCTCATATTGCACTGCTTCATCTGCTCTAGCTCCTGATGATCCCCATAAACTCGCAAATAATGGAACAAAGCTGAAACCAACAGGCATTTGATGAGTACCTATGCAACCCTCTGGGTCCCTTACTCTGCCTCTAACATTACTCCTCATTTACCTATTTTACACTTTGTATCAACCAATGATAAATTGGAAAAACCCTAAAAGATAACCTAGCATACTTGCATACTTGTCCTATCAATGCTTTTAGTTAACTATGTGACATTAGGCAAATTTCTTGATCTTTCTGACCCTCGGTTTCCAAATAGACAAAATAAAGGACCAGATGGTCAATGTGAATGGTTTAAGAGCTTGAGCTCTGCAGTCAGAGCTGGATTTGAATCTGACTACCATAGTTAACTTGTTATGTGACCTTAGGTGAGTTAACCTTCCTCAACTTCAATTTGCTCATCTACAAAATGGATATAAAATAGGATCTACTTCATAGAGTCATTAAAGTCATTAAATAAGACAGTGCCTATAAAAATGTAAAATGCAGAAGTGTTTTTTAAATGTTAGCTACTAGGGTTCCTTGAAAAGTTTGTGGAAAAATAGAATTAAAAGATAATATGAATCTTTCCATGAACTTTTGAAATACCCTCACATCATCATCAATGTCATTGCACTATACATTATAAGTAGGATATTTTTATTAAAACTATTTGCTTAATATAAATTTAATACATGCAACATGTACCTAAGTCATAAAGCAAACAAAATAAACACACATAACCCCACCACCCAACTTAAGAAGCAAAACATCACCAGAACCGTGACATCTACTTGTGTGCCTACCCCCCTCTGCCTTCCCACAAGCTTCCATGGTGACTCATCTTGAATTCTGTTTATCATTCCCTCCCCTTCTGAAGTTTTATCACGTGTCTATACATAAATGTATTGTTTACTTCTGCTTGATTTTAACCAATATCACTTATTGGTATTTGTTTCACTCAATAATGTTTCTAAGAGCTATCCCTGCTAATGTGCTAGTTATAATTCATTTACACAACTCTATAATATTCCACTGCATGAGCACTTATCCATTCTCTGCTGATGAAACTTTGCGTTGTTTCGAGTTCTGTACTATTATGCACATTGCAGCTATGAATACCTTTGGACATGTTTCTTGGGCTACAAAGACAAGAGATTCCTACAGGGCACACCTTAAAAGTAGAATAACTAGGTGAGATTTCAGCATTACAAATTAATGCCAAAATGTTTTCCCAAATAGGGGTGTCAGTTTACACTGCTTCGGTCAGAGGATGAGCTTCCGTTGATTACAACAACCTCCCTCATGCTTTTTTCTACCAAATCTGTTGAAATTTGCTAATCTGGTGGGCTTAAAATGAAATCTCATTGCAGTTTTTGGTTTGCATTTCCTTGATTATTAACGAGGTCAACCACTTTTTCAGATTGATGAGTCACTTATATTTCCTTCTCTGTGAAATGTCTCTCTTTGCTCATTTCTCTACCAAGCTTTTTATAACTTTGTAGGTCTTTATATATTCTTGATAACTGTATTTCAGTTATATTATTGCATATATCTTCTCCCAGTTTGTGACTTGTCTTTTTGCTTTCTTTATGGTGACTTGATAAACAAAGATTATTTTTAATAGTAATAGAAAAAATAGGCTTAAAGTCAAGCATACCTAGTTTAAATCACAGACCTGTCACTAGCTGAATAATCATGGGAAAGTCACTTAATTTCTCAGAATATGCTGGCTTAGAGATTTCTTTTCGTAAAATTAATTGAAATAATAGATATAACGTGCCTGACATATACTGTAATTAATGCCTGGTATAAAATGATGATAATGATGATTTTTAAAAAGGGATTTTTTTAAAAAATAATCCTTTAAGTTAAATTTACCATTCTTTTCTAATTTTTTTTTAAAAAGCTCCCACACGTCCAAATCATAAAGCCGTTGTCCTTTACAGTCTCAATTTAAAAAAAAAAAAAATGATGACTGGTAAGGGGATCTTAACCCTTGACTTCTTGTTGTCAGCACCACGCTCTCCCAAGTGAGCTAACCAGCCATCCCTATACAGGGATCCGAGCCCTGGTCTTGGTGTTATCAGCACCACACTCTCCCAAGTGAGCCACGGGCCGGCCCTACAGTCTCAAATTTTTAAAAGATTTGTCTTTTAAATAAACTTTAAATAGCCAAGAATTTACTTTTGCATAAAGATCCAATTACATTTTTTTCTGTATGATGAATTTTCGAAGCACCATTGGTTGAATAATCCATACATTACCCAGTAATCTACAATGCCACTTTTATTATGTATTATTTCCACATATGACTGGTCTATTTCTGGGTTTTCTATTCTATGCCACTCTTCTATTTGTTTATCCCTACATCAATAGTGTACTTCATTTATCACTATAGCTTTATTTGAGAAAAAAAGTCAACTGGCAGAGCAAGTCTCTGATCTCATTCTTTTTCAGGAGTATGCTGTTGCCTATTCTTTGCTCTAGTTTCAGCTCCTAGTCTACTTTACAACTGTCACTTGCATATTTCTCTTCCAGCAAGCCAAATGCTATGGACTGAATTATGCCCTCCCCCTCCCACTCCCAGTATGTGTTTGTTGAAGTTCTAACTCCCAACGTGACTATATTTGGAAAGAGGTACTCTATGGAGGGAATTAAGGTTAAATGAGGTCCTAAGGGTGGGGCTCTGCTACACGCAGGTGCACAAAACAGATCATGTGATCACAGCAAGATGGCAGCCACCTACAAACCAGGGATAGAGGCCTCGCCAGAAACTAAGCTGGCACTGCAATCTTGGACTTCCAGTCTTCAAGCTGTGAGAAAATAAATGCTGTTTAAGCTGCTCAGTCTACAGTACTTTGTTATGGCAGCCCAAGCAAACTAATACACCTAATGATGCAATAAAAACTATATTGTACTTAGCATTTGGTTACTTTGCATGGGAAGCCACCCCACCCCAGATTATCTAGTCTGCTATACTGCCAGGGGAAATAAACAGAAAATAGTTTTGTTCTTAACTTGTTGCTCCTCTGAGGTTTAACAGCAGACTATTCATTAAGGGTCCTCATTAGGGACTATAAGTGAAATTAAACAGTATTTATTTGATGAAAAAATATGCTTATTTTCACTCTTTTTAAGGCTAATTGCTGTGTTTTTGTGAGGTTTTGTGTTTTGAGGTTCTATGTCCCAGTCCCTATCTTAAATTTATAATGAGACATCAGTTAAAAACCTGAGGGACTGTGGGAGCAGAGGTAAGATTCTACTGCTGCTTGCAGTGGAAGGTCATGTAAGAGAAAGGTAAGAGCAAAATGTTTATCATGTACAAGTATATGGAGATAAAGGTAAGAATGTGTGAATTAATAAGATTAGATTTAACTGCAAAACACAAGTAAGTGGCTTAAACAAGGTAGAGGTTTATTTGTGTCTCCCAAAAACAGTCCAGAGGTAGACTATCCAGAACTGGCACAGTGGTTCCATGATGGTCACAGATCCCAGCTTCTTCTATCTTCCATCCTGCAGATTGCCACATGGTCCAGGGTGGCTACTGGAGATTCAGCCATCATGTCCAATTTCAGAAAAGAAAAACCAGCTAGGGGATAAGTTTGGAGAAGCACAAAGGATGAGCTTCCCAACAGGGTCAGCTCACCTAAGGAACTTCCCTGGAAGCTCCACCAATGACTTCTGCCTATAGACTTTTGGCAACCCTCAAATGCAAAGAACAGCAAATGTGGTATTTGAACTGTGCACAGTCACTCCCAATAAAGTATGGGTTCTATAAACATAGAAGAGATAATGATACCAGGTAGTACATTAGTCATATTTTCTATTTTCTGTATTTTATGAAACTGACATCTTAGGGCATTGTGGACCCAGGGAGGGCCTGCCCCTCCCAGGGTTAGCTAATTCCTAGAGATGGCAAACAGCCTGACAGCATGCCTTTGACATGCAGACCAACCAATCCTTTAATCAGGCTCCTGCCCTCAATCACCTCAGGGCCAAGTACCTGACAACTAGGGACTACCCACCTCAAAATCATCTTTTAATAGCTTTTTTTTGTTTGTTTTCCAGTACCTACTGCATCACCATTAGATCCTGGGCAGGAGCTATATGATATTCTTCTTAGTATCTCTAACCCAGAGCCTAACATAGGATTGGGTACAAAATTGGTACACAATTAATATTTGTTCAATTTGAATCCCAAATGCCCCTCATGTCATCTCTCATCCCCACTGTACTAACCTTTCTAGGATTACTGTAGGAGCTTCCTAACTGCCTCTAGGCTTTTCTCTTTCTAACCATGTTTATCGTTCTTCCTAAAGCACAATTCTAACGAGATGTCCCTGTTTTCAACCGTCTATGGCTTCACACTGCCAAAGTTCCCTGCAAGCTTTCAAGGCCGTTTATGACCGAGCCTGAACCCACTTTTCATATCTTATCTCTCACTGCTTCATAAACTCTAAGTTCCTGGATCTCTGCTCATGCTGTTTCCTCTGCTGAAAACTAACCTAACTACTCTCTTCTGTGCTACTCCTCACACCGTATCACACTTAGCTGCACAGGCCTCTGCTTATCCTCCTCACCCAACTCCCACCATCTAAACTGTGAGCTCCTTCAACACAGGAGTCCTGTTGTATTCATCCCTCTATCCAGGTCCTGTATGGGTGCATGACATACAGCAGATGCCCAAATGACTTTGGAGGTTAAAAAGATACCCAAATTAACTTTAAATAGTCATAGAAGATTAAAAACAACCAAAAAACACCAACGTGGAATAAGTGCTCAATAATCCATGTAAGTTAATAACAACAACAAAAGTTAAGTACAATAAACTATTTTAAGTTTAACATGCTCTCAAAAATATCACGAGACTTGATAAGACGGGCATAGCGACTGAAAGAATGATATGCTTTGTCTGAAATAATAACTGCCAACAACAACAGCAGCCAACATGTATCAAGCACTTATTTCAGTTATTATGTATGAAATAAGTTACAGGTAACTCTATTATATATTGTACTCTTCACAGCAGGCCTTTAAGGTAGGTTCACTATTTGTTTTACTCTCAGAAAAACAAAACAACAAAAAATCTGAGGCAAAAGTTGAGTAACTTACCAGAGGTCACTCAGCTGGTAGGTGGAGAAGCAGGGATTGAAATCCTGGCCATCTGACTGCACAGCCTTAACTCTGAACAATTATTATAGACCACTGTTCTTCCCCAAACAATAGGCAGGGCAGAGAAATTAAATAAATGTCAAGATGTACACCTGGTATGGCAAAACAAGACCCTGACTTCCAAAGCATGGCAGAAAGCAAATGAACGAAGAACAAAGAAACAAAAAGAAAGGTGTCACTATTGCAGCTGCATGATATTGATAGCCTAAAAAGCTACAAATTGTCCTCGTGCAGAATGTGGGGCTGACACAGAGGCAAATTATAGCAGTAAGAAGGGATTTCAATGCTACTGATGCCTGCCAAAAGTCTCATTCTCTAAAAAGTAAGTCTGACAAATTCTTGAACATCCTTGACAATTTCAACTGTAAGTAAACAATGAAAGGAGCAGAAGCTCTGAACTTACTCTAACCAGTTAAAGATACTGCTTGATATAAAGAAAGCAAGGAGTATGTTAAGGCAATCTGGTAAAGAAATTGGTAAAGAAATTAAGTGTAACTTATTTTCCTGTAGGATCGTCAGACTGAGAATGAGATATTTCTTCTTCACTCAGAACTTCCCCCCAACCAAAACCTATTATTCATTGAACTCCCAGTGTGAGCCAGATGCACCCTGCACGGGGCACTCTTCGAAGGCTAGCTGTGGGAGGCTGAGGGTATGTAGGGCCAATGAAGTATGAGTGCAAGTGGAAGCAGGCAGGGGGCAGAAAGCAAAATGCAAACTTCACATACCTGAGTCCAAATTCCAGGTGTGCATCTATAAGCGGCATGACTTTGACAAGTTACTTAACCTCACTCAGTTTTGGGTATCCTCACCTGTAAAATGGGGATTATAGTACCTTCTTCTTAGGATAATAGCTAAATGAGACAATGAAATGTCAGCCATTAATATGATCATTGTTATTTCTTAAGATAATTCCCTATCACTCATTAACCTCAGGATAATCTCTCATTTTCTACAATGATTTTCCTGTGGCTACTCCTACCAATCTTCACAGCATATAATGCAAACCCTGACAGAAAAACAAGTAAAATGATCCCTCCTTCATTTTCATGTCAGTATTTCAGTCCAATCCAACTGAACAGTAAACATTTATGATGTCCTATAACATCACTGTGCTAGAGTGAGCTAGACAGGGGCAAAAAGGAAGCGTGAGTAAAACACATCCCTGTCTTCAAGAACAGCATGAACTCTTTTGGGATCAAAGGGAAACTACCATTAAGTTCTCAACTCAGCTGAAAAGACAAGTAATCCCCAAAGAAATACATACTTCTGTTCCCAAAACAGCCACAGAAACACGTCTTTGGTGTTTCAGGATGCCTTTGGATTAACTGATCAGTGATTTTTGAAAAATGAATGACTCTGAGAACCGTATTGGCAACAAAACAATGGATCTCATACAGATTGGTCTTTAAAGTCAGTTGTTCCAGGTTGTGTGCTTGCATTAAGGGAATGAAGTATATAAGGATGAAATGCTAAAATGCAGATGTTGGGGGGAATATATAAAAGAGCTACTTGTTCACAACCAGGACATGAAGTGGTACTGGCTGAAAGCGAATGAGTAGAGTAAGCCTGGTTCAGGAATAAAGTAAAGATTTCTTTTCCCAAAATGAAAACAGATTTATCAAAGTAAAACATACTTAAAGCTAAAATTAAAAATTAGGAAAAATTAGAATATACAAAAGTGTAAAGAAATAGAGAAAATCACACATAATACCCATATCCGGAGATAAGATTTTGATGTTTCTCCTTCCAGACTTTTCTAAGAACATACTTACATCTTTTTCAAAAATGGTACCACCACATACGCTGTTTAGTACATTCTCTCCCACTTTTCTATGTATCATACTCATCTTTCCTTTTAACATGAAATCACCATATTAAAGTCCCAAGACAGTTTTCTACAGATTTATTCCCTGACATTACAACATCAAAGAGGGAAATGCAAGATCCAAAACTTGGACCAAACGACCCCTAAAAAGTCTCTTACTGATATCAGATTCTACAAATCTCCTCTGTGCCTAGACCAGCTTGGCAGCAGCAGAAAGTTTCTCACCAGATGGGGCTGCCTTGGTGGGGAAGGCAGAGTTTAAGATCCAGCAAGTCTGACCAGTTTGGGGGCCACAGGGCCTGCCAGAATCATACGCATGCGGAGGACTCAACACTACAGACGTGACTCTGAAAAAGCACCACTGCCTCAGCCTTTCAGGAATGTAGAGATATGAGGCAACCTCCAAAGGAGAGTCTGAAGAGCTCCTCGGCTCACAGCGGTCCTGTAGGACACACTCTTCTGCCCTGTGTCCTGTCCTGAATTCAGATACTGCTTTGGGCTGGTAATTAAGCTCTTTTGTTCACCATGTCAGCTTCAAAAAGCACAGATTTATCACTCTGTATAAAAAGGAACACCAACGTGCATGTGAGTTTTGAACTTGTCAAAGTCCAACATGACCTAAGCCACAGTTAGCACTATACTCTCAGGCAGAGGGGATAGGGTATGTAGCTTAGGGAACAAATACACAGGCTGGGCCACAGGCCAAGCTGGAGACAGAGTGGCCTAGATAGAATGAGGGACTTCCACCATTTGAACAAAACAACCTGCTCAATAGCAGTCAGCCTCTGGAAAACTGCAGCAAACTAGTAGGCAGACCTGGGGAGGACTGATGCAAACATTAATAAGCAAAATATGCATTGAAAAACTGAGTTTTTTCATGTCCCTATTGGTAAATTATTAGTACGCTGTAACTTCCTGAATCTTAAAATAAAAGATTACATAATATAAATAATGGTCTGTGTGTGTATGTGCATCGAGAGACCATGTGGAAAAACAAAAGGTAAATGCAGTGCCTCAGGCTCTAGCCTAGGGAGGCAATATCAAAGGTTAAGAGGACTGTCCCCCTCTCAGAGTTCTGGATGAGACTTTAAAAGAACAGAGAAAAGGGGCTTAGATACAGGATAATGGAACCAGAGCCCCTGTGTCATCACCTGGAGATGAACCACTGCATTTCTAGTTATATTTCAGGTCTTCACCGCTGGTGAACTACGTTTCATAAATGCTACCAGTGAAACTGTCCAAAGACAAAAGATATGAAAAGGGTAGGCTAGTTTTGAAACTGTTTAGGTTAGACACTAACTTCTGTTCAGCAACCCCCTTTAGTTTGAGCTAACTCTTAATATCCCATTGGGATCATTCATTTGTCAGCATTTATCAAGTAGCTATTCTGTGTCAAGCACTGGTTAAGTGCAGGAACACGGAGCTGATTCAGTCCTTGCTTCCAAGTCTACAGAGCAAAAAGATAAGAAAATCAGCATTTAAAATGATGGGATAAATGCCTGACATATAATAATAATGAATACTGAGTGGCTGAATCAATACTGTAACAGAAGTGTGCACAAAAAACAGGGGGTCATTCCAAAGGACATTTATCCCTTTGCTATAAAACAGATGGATGAACCTAAAAGTTCACTATATTGTATACCTGTCCATAGACGCCACCCCTAAAAGAATAAACAACTAGAAAATGCCAGTACAGATAGGAGCTACCAACGTTTGTGCCACAAAAAGGGAAGAGGAAATGACAGTCAGAAAAATTATTATCACTCATTTTATATAAAAGAGCATTTTAATTAGAAACTAAAGACTATACATGATTTTGGAAATAAGACTGTACCAAACAGTGGCCAAAGAAGAATCATCCAGTCTACACCTTCTCTTTTGTCTGGTCACTCAGAAATATAATGTTATCTGAAAAGAAGCCAAAGTGTAATTGTTATTTTCAGAACTCGTTCTCCATCTCATTTAATAATTCGCCTCTAATACATACATACTTTAGTACTGTTCACTAAAAGGATTTTACACAAATTTTCAGAATATTAAATAACTCCTGCCATATTCATGAGAGGTATATACAGTAGGCATAAATGGAGCTAAAAGTAGGCTTCAGCTGTTTGTCCAACAATTCAGACCTTGTTAGAAAAGGTGTGGTATTTCTTGTCTTCACTGAAGACAGTTAAAGTCTTCTCAACAATAACTTCCTACAACAATACTGGCCACAAATTTGGATGCTTGCAATGCTTGGACAGATGCCATGAAACCAGGCAGCATATCCTCACATAGAAGAGGACCAAGACATATCACTGCACATGCTGGAGGATTGGAGGAGAGGATTGGGGTCCACACAGACCAATTAGCAATGACAGATTCATTTGTTATTTGATTTATGTTTTTAAGTAAGGTTAAAAACTCATATAGAAGGAATTTTATTTTTAAATTATAAAACAGAATAACTTTTATATAGCTACTCCTAGGGAAACTTTTACTAATCAATATCACAAAATGAGCATTTTTATACAAAAGCATCAGACACTGCTCTTAAAATGCTCTTCCAGAGGATGTTAGCTTAGGACAAGTAAAGGGGAAGAGGGTAAGTAGTATTCTCTGTATAACTCAAAAAAATCTAGATTCTTATAACTACAAAGTGGTTATTATATAATGACTAAATATTTGTTCATGACTGCAGTCTTCCAAAAATAGAACAGAATGATTACTTCAGAAGAGAGAATTAGAATTGACATCACTGTGTAAAAAGCCAAGAGTACCATCCACTGGTGGTTATTTTTAAATTACTCATAAGATTCCCAAAAGAAAAAAACATGTCCTATGAAACGGATTAACCAAATTAAACTCTATTTTCTTCGATTCAACTATCACTGAAGATCTATTCAATTTTACTATCAGTCGTAATAAAATTATACTTAACTGACTATGCTAATGAAAACTGGTGACAAGAGAAAAACAAAATGGCAGATAATCTGAAATGCTTCTACTTGGCTTGGTTCCTAACAACCCAACTATCCCAACAATCCAAAGGCTGCCCACACACTTGGTTTACAGTAGAACATAAATGAGGGCAGGAAAATACCTATGTTGGTTTTCAAGGTCAATATACTTTCAAAGAAACTTACCAGTAAGGAAATGAGATTATTATTCACAACAAATTGTAATTATCAATATGGTACAATGATTAAGACATGAACTTTGGTGCAAAGAAAAAAAGAAACAGAAAATCTATTGATTAGAAGACTTAAGATGTACATATATCATGTAATATAATGTATGGACTTTTATTTATGAAGTAATAAGGGAATCTGAACACTGCAATATTTGGTAAAAAAGAAAAATTAACAACAATTTAATATTAGGTGTGATAACAGCATTGCAGTTATGTTGCAAAAAAGACACATGCTCTCTCAGAGATACGTACTGAAATTTATGAATGACATGGTATAATGTCTGGGATTAACCTCAAAATAATCCAGGTAGAAGAAAAGTGGCTGGGGACATAGATAAAATAATACTGGCCATCAGTTAATAATTGATGAAGTTAAATGATGGGAATTCGGGCCGAGCCCGTGGTGCACTCAGGAGAGTGCGGCGCTGGGAGTGCAGCAGCGCTCCCGCCGCAGGTTCGGATCCTATATAGGGATGACCGGTGCGCTCACAGAGCTCACTGGCTGAGCGCGGTGCGGCCAGTCTCAAAAACAAAACAAAAAAAAACAAACAAAAAAAATAATAAAATAAATAAATAAAATGATGGGAATTCACTTTACTATTCTTTGTACTTTTATGTATGTTAGACCTTTTCCATAATAAAAAATTAATTTTTAAATATTACCTAACTTTGGCATATCTCAGAAGTCCATAAACACTGAGACACTGCTATAAAAAAATTTCTTTCATTCCCACCTACTTATTTATAAAAACAAGGTTTCTTAGTGTTAACATCCATGAAAACAAAGGAAGAGAATTGACTTAAAATCTAATTTTAGCAATTTATACAAGAGGTGGGGGGGGGAAGCATGATCTATCTCATTAAAAGAAACATTTCCAATAAAATCCTACTTTTTATATTTACATATTAACATCATTTTGGTCAATTAGGTACTAAAAACAACTATAATGATAACTCAATCAATGAGAAATATAACAGAGCCTTACTTTCACAAAATTTTTTTAAATACTTTAAAATTTCTTTTATGTGTATATTTTTGTTACAGACAAACATGACAGGATGAATAGTAAAAGATTCTCAGTGATACAGTATATTAAAGATACACTTCTGAGGAGAAAATGGAAATGATAAAACAAGTTCGAAGAAAAAGAAATACAAAATTTCCAAATGTTGAAGAGCTTCCTTATGTATTTTTTTATAAGGTGATGACTATCAAACTTCAATAGTATTTATATCCCATTAATACATTTAAGAGTGACATAACAATTTTATATTGAAAAAAGTTCTTAATGTCAACTTAAAGATGTCCAAAGGTGTATACTGTTTTGAAACTCTTCTCTAGGTGATATCTTCTTAATCTTCTTTAAACTTTGTGTGTCCATCTTTTCTATGTTGTTTTGTATTTTGTTTAAAGAGAACAATAAAAATGCTTATATTTCAAATAGAAACTTCAGCATATTAAGTACCAAAGAGATTCTAAATAAATCTGTTCAAATTTCTAATGCCACTCACATTGATGTAACTATCTTGGTACATGCTTCTCCCTATTTAAGCTATGTCCTTCAAAAGACATTAGTTTATGTTTTTCTAATTCTTAACAATCAGTACTGGCATGGACAATTAAATTTTATACTCTACTCAAAATTTACTTGTGAACTAAAACTGTGAGTATAGAGAAAGTTTTCTAAAGGAATAGATAAATGTAGCAACTCTCAGCAAGCAGAAAAACCAAAGTCACAGAACTCTTCTGGTGAGCTGCCTTACAATCAGGTAGGCATCAGTACTCAGAACCCCAGTTAAACTTACTGACAACACAGCCAAGCTTTTAAAAAAGGGAAGGAGAAAAAAAGAAAGAACACCCATTACCACAAGCTTCTTACCAGCTATAATTGTTGTTGCTTGTCGCCTCACATTATTTTTATCCATGTATTCACCATAGTCTACCTTCCCTTCCACATAAACTCGAGACCTGATATAAATAAAATTTACAGTTTTTAGTTTGGAGATTCTACGTGCTTTACAAGAGAGAGCCAAGACAGGAGTGGCAATGAGTATACAGAAAGGATGAAATATGTAATCATACATAACATCACTTTAGCTACCACTTCTCAAAATTCAGAATTAAGAGTACTCAAACAGTATATAAAACAGACTTGACACATCTAGGTAAAAAGGACAATGTTTTCATCATTCAGCTATTTTCCTTATGAAAGTTTAAAAAACTTGTTCAAAATCGTAAGCCAAAAAAATTTTTTTTTAAAAAGGCAATTTTAAGACCATGAAGATCAAAGGGCAACTTAGTGGCATCCTTGAAATCTCTAGAAATGACTTCCAATGTGTCATTTTCCTTGACCTTTAATTCTGGACTCCCTAAAAGATTTGCTGATTTTCTCTTATTTATCAATTCCTTTCTACAATGAGGTTCTTGACCTTACTCTCAAGGGACTTATATTATTAAAATTCAAAATAAAGGTTTCAGCTTAGTGTAACACTCAGAGTTAATCACTAATACTGCTTCAACACTACAGGACTGAACTAGATGACAACCATAACTATGATTTTAAAGGGTGGAAAATGACCATAACGGCACCATACCAGCACCAGTTTTCAGAGTCTGCTGCCACCAAAAAAGGACAATATAGAAAGAACACAAAACTAATGAAATGATCAGGTGCCAAAACATACACATACACACACACACACACACACACACACACACACACAACCAGCAGGTAAGACTGCACGTAGTCATTTTCTGTGAAACATCCTATACACGTTTGTGTGTGTGTGTGTGTGTGCACATATTCATACACACATACATAAAGGACAATGGAGATATACATGAAGAAAAGGTATGCAGTTACTAGAAAGGAAAAGAAATTTTAGTCATTGCTGAAATCATTTTACATAAAATATCATGAAATATGTTTTGATTATTTCTACAAACCAAGCACATTTTAAATATATTAACCATTAATACAACTGTTGTTAAAAAACACTCTTTTGTCCTTCCAAAAATTTGGAAAAGACACATAATCGATCCAAGCATTCCAAAAGGGAACAACTAACCCTATAAATAATTATCAAATATAAAATAATGCCTGTGATAGTACCATAACTCAATGTGTCAGGTTTCAGACATTCTAAATCTCTGCTATGGAAATCATGTGGATGACAAAAAGCAAGACACCAGCCCCATGATCCCTGGTCATGGAAGCACATGCTGTACTTGCTCAAGTGGCACTTAATAAGCTTTGCCTTCTCTCCTGCTTCATCTACTTCTATGTACATACATACCTTGTTTACCCTAAGTTCTCAGAAGACTAAAACCATGTTTTATACACCTTTAAACTAGTCACACACATGGCAACATGCCACGCACAGACTATTAAGGGCTTAATAAATACCCTCTTAAATTAACATCAAGTAATTAGTAGTATTCAGGGATAAAGGAGGAGTTACATGTTCCTTGCCATGAGAACACCTCTTATCAGTTCAATCACTTCAATCCATAAGATCTTTCCTTCTTCAACTTACCCCTTTTTCACATACTGATAGGCCACATCTCTGAGGCCTGGACGAAATACTGATATTCTGTGCCATGTTGTCTTTTGACTGACATCACCTAAATCATAAAAATAGGAAAGATGATTACAAATGCCAGCAGATGAAACCAATGCCAACAGAAGACATGTGCAGCAAAACCAATGCCACAATTTCTAGGAACAGAATTAGAGAAGATAGACCCTGTCTACAAGTAGCTTACCTCTAATTAAATAATTGGCAATAAATAAATCAGGTTTATTTACTGCTGATAAAATTAAAACCCCAGTCTTTTATACTCACCCATTTGGTGTACTTCACTATCCCCTGATCGCCACATCTCATTTGTCGCTAGAGAAAATATTGTGACTGGATTTTTTCCTTCTACCTGTCTCATGACAGGGTCTTGACCCACTCGCCCAAGTAACTGCACACGATTCAGAGCTGAAACACAACGCAGAAATAAAACACAAAGTAGAGATTGAGAACCTGCTATGGACTGAATGTTTGTGTCCCCCAAAATTCACATGTAGAATCCCTAACCCTTAATATGATGGTATCTGGAGGTGGGGCCTTTGGGAGGTGATTAGGTTTAGATGAGGTCATGAAGTTGAGGTTCCAATGATGGGATTAGTGTCCTTATAAGAGGAAGATACCAGAGCTTTCTTTCTCTTTCTGCCACGTAAAGACACAGTGAGAAAGCAACCATCTGCAAGAAAGAAAGAGAGCCCTCACTAAGAGGGCTGGCACTCTGACCTTGGACTTCCAGCTTCCAGAACTGTGAGAAATAAATGTCTGTTATTTAAGCCACCCAATCTATGGTATTTTGTTATAGCAGCCTGAGGTGACTATTAAAGAAATACACACTTGAGACTGAGAGAAATGTCCAGAAGAGGAACACCTACAAATATAAGGGTTCTTCAAAAAGTTTATGGAAGGATTTGTATTATCCTTTAATTCTATTTTTCTATGAACTTTTTGAAGTACCCTGCTACCACTTTAACTTCAATCTCTATATTAAGCAAAACCCAAGTTCTAGAAGATCAGAAAATAAGTTAAAGGGGTAAATAAAGGAAGGCTAGAAGAGAAAGAGGGTTGGCAAAAAAGGAGAAAGTAGTCATTGAGAAAGCAGCCTCACAAAATAAACTTTAAGCTCTTTACCTTATCTTAAATTCTTCCTTAAAATATCTTTTTCTTTTTTTAACTGACTGTGGAACTAAAAGCACAAATCAAAGATCTGAAAATCTTTATAAATACAAGGGAATATTTTGATGAAACAGTATCTTTCACGATCTCAGCCTAACATAACATAACCTTGGAAGACTCAGATAATCAAAAATGTCTCAAGGAAACTCTCACAGCAGGACAATGACAAGAGTAAGGAGTATCTGGCTAATAAGGAGAATAAGGGCCCGATTTATACTGGGTCCCAGTAGCCTGACGGGGTGAAGCCGAGATCTGAGGAGCAAATACCTACCAAAGGCATTATGATTAACATGGTTAACCCAATCAACATATCTCTTCTGCAGCACATTTGAGAATATTAGCACATTACTATAAATAACACTTTAAACTTGGAAATCAGTTACTTACATCTTTCAAGAACCAAACTGCTAGTTACTTCAGACTCATGTCTTACAAACTGATGAAATACCTAAAGGGAAACAAAAGAGTAACATGGCTTTAATTTTTTAGGAAAGGCACAACAAAAACAGAAGACCTGTTCACATTCATTCACCATTTAGTCAGTAGTTCCTGTAAGTTCCAGAAGAGAAGAAAAGAGACGCTCTCCCCATGTTCTCCCAAAACAGTGCCAAAAAGACCAGGCAAACACTTTTAAGAGCAGAATACTACAGAACTCAAAGGTACAAAGAATTTACTAGCAAACATGCCCAAGGTTAATTTACACTTCTCCCAAAACAGTGCCAAAAAGACCAGGCAAACACTTTTAAGAGCAGAATACTACAGAACCCAAAGGTACAAAGAATTTACTAGCAAACATGCCCAAGGTTAATTTACAGTCTTCTCCTGTTTCTTTTGTGGCAATCCTCCTGATTATGGTGGGTCTGTGCTTATACATAAAAGGTAAAATCAAAACAGTATCACTTTCACAATAGAGAGTATGACAGTGATTGTAAGTCTAATCTGTACCTAACAGCAAGTATTAAAAACTCCAGTTTTCATTATCAGGAGACAGAGAAAGAAGCAAAAAGTACTATGTATACATTTAATAAAATAGGCCAAACTTTTTTTCTTTAAATATAAACAACTAGTATATTATTATATTTTGGTTATAGCAGACTTTAGAAATTAAGAAACTTAGGTTTTCTAATGGGGGTACAGATTTAATCCATCTTTAGACCAAAGGACAGTAGAAAGAGATCAATGCATTATAATTAATGTATTAATAAATACTAACATAAAAAGCAATGATCAAACAACTGTTATGATGTGTGTTTTACTTAAGCCTCACTCTCATCCGTAAAGAACAGAAAGTTTAGAGAATAAGAAATTAGACTAAATTTCAATAAAACAATACACTCCTTACATTCATTACATGAATGACTTTCTGACACAGCAATAGACAGATTCCAAAGCCAGACTCCCTGTGAATAAAACTTGTAGTCTATCAAACTGCTTTCCCTTGGTCGCTCCTTCAGAACTCATAAGGAATTAGGAGATACCTCAAATGATTAGCACAAAGTGTTTCATTTAAAAATGAGCAAAAATGATGACAGATAACATCTACGTCACAAAGCTATTACAAAAATTAAACAGCTTCTGTAGTGAGTTTAGCCCAGTGTAGAGTTCTATAAATATTTGATGGGAAATTTCATACCTCCTATAGATCAAAAAAAAGTCTAAGATAAACAACTTTGATTCCTTGCTTAAGTATAAAGATACTGCTGTTCAAGTCACATAGTTGTCAGAAAAGGGTGGTCACTGCCACATAATAAGCAGCACTAAATGTTAATAACAGATATTACTACTGAATACCAACTAAGTACTTTATCTATTATCAACTGACCCTAAATCTAAACCTATAAATAATGTAAAATTATGCCCTCTTTAGAGCCAAGAAAACTGACGCTCAGAAAGATTGAATACTTTGCCCAAGATCCTGGAGGAAATAAGTGGCAAGTCATTCTAGAACCCAGGGCCTTGAACACCAAGGCTGCTGTTTTTCCCACTGTCCTCTGCTGCCACCTTAAAGATGTCCTGTTCAAGGGCCACTACAAAGATAGGAGTACACATCACTGAATTCCGAGTTCAGAGAGCTAACCATTCTAATCAGAGAAACATTTTTTTCATTAAGTCTTTTATTAGACAAATCTTTTACAGAACACCAGCTATAAGCAAGACTGAAAAAAAAAATGGATAGGTCTATAATTCTAGGAGGCTAATACTTTAAAGGAGAGCTAGATGTTTATACAAATGTGACCTAAGACAAACACAAAAGTTGGAAATAAAGTTTCTAAATGTGAGGTAGTGATTTGTGAGAACCAGTAAAAGAAAAAAAATTTCAGCTTAACTAAGTGAAATGAGAAATCATGGCGTTTTTGTACTAGCCACCTCCCCCAACAACCTAATAAAAGATCACAAGGCAAATTTGACAAAGGGGCAGAGGAGCCAGGGGTGGTGGAATGAGAAGTTGTACATAAATCACATATAGAGACCCATTTGGGTCATTAGCTGCTGTCTCAGTTTGTCTGAAATGATTATATACCTAGGGAGGCTGAAAATAATTTGAAGATAACTCAGAGCAAAGAAAGCACAAAGTTAGAGAAACATTTCTCAGGTGGCTGTACTGTCAACATAAAAAACAGAAGTCCACCAAGCAAAGGAACACCCATTCCTGGTGCTGTTAGCTATATAATTCTATCATTAAATTTGGGGGATAGAGGGTAGATAAGAAAATAAAGTCGTTACAACATACTACAGAATAAAACTGCTAACTAGTACCTGTATCATGACTATAGAAAAGTACTAATTTGAGTGCTCAGAAGAGCCAGAACTTATATGTCTTACAGAATAACAAAATGCCTCATTTGGGGCACACAAAAATCAAGACTTACTGGAGAAACAGAAATAGGGAAAGGATGATTTTACTTCAATAATTTTTTAAATTAAACTTTTAACTCCTCTATATCTGGTTTTAAAGACATCTTAATACTGTAATATTAAGACAGTAGTAACTTTTCCATGTTTGACATTTCAGTACATAGAAAAGTAAGCTAGAAGTACATATAGGTCAATGTGGGGATCTAAAAATATAATCAGTTGGACAGTAGGGTGGGGAAGATGATAACAGGTTTCATGGTGGAATTGATTCTTCATTAGTCTTCACAAGAAGATGGGGATTAGGAGAAAGGTATTATAAAGAAGAATCTACAAGACTTGGTACCCAGATGTGGTTAAGTGAAGAACAGCAGTCTAGGCTGCTCAAGGCTGGCTAGTGGGAGTGGACAGATGAAGAGTCAGACTGAGTGGCATGAGAAGGAATTCTGGACATAGTGAATTTGTGGTGACGCTGAGACTTGAGCTGCTCTCCTCAGTGTAGGAGGATGTGGGGAGGGGAGCGTTTAGAAACAGAGGAGGTATATTGTCAGAAAAGCAACCACATGCCTTATAGAAAAACACTGGAATAATGAATGTTTCCTATAGACCTTAGGTCACTAAACATCTTAAATGCTCTCTAACTAATCTAAATGCAAGTAAATACACATTTTAAAAATTAATGATTCCTTTTAATGAAATAATGAAATAATAATGAAAAAAAAAAATTTCTTTTTAAAAGATGACCGGTAAGGGGATCTTAACCCTTGACTTGGTGTTGTCAGCACCACGCTCACCCAGTGAGCAAACCGGCCATCCCTGTATGGGATCCGAACCCGGAGCCTTGGTGTTATCAGCACCGCACTCTCCCGAGTGAGCCACGGGCCGGTCCCATAATGAAATTTTTTATTTTATTTTAGCGAACATTACTTACACAGGCAGAATCCATCCCCAACCCGCCCTATCAAATGAGTACACATAAGGTGGGTGGGTGGATTCAAAGGTCTTTTGCCCCTGCAATCAAAAGCCTAAAGAAATCTGATCACTACGGCTGACAATAATACATATCTCAGCACTAATATCGAAAAGTGACTACCTGTAATACAGGTCTTCGAAACATGGCTTCTATTTTCTTTTCTTACAATCTGATCTTTAGGCTTTTCCTGAAGGGAAAAAAAAGAAAAATTAAATATTACTTCTCATAGCAAAAGCATAATTTCACTAGTTCTAAATGCCTAACTTCATTCATTTTTGCGTACTCCAACTTGCAACACAACATATCAACATCCCTGCACATTTGAAGAGGATCCCTTTCCCCCGAAAGAAAACTCAACACCTGCAGGTCTTTCTGATCCCGCTTCACTGCCTCTTCCACCTATCCATACAAAAAATTCTGATTCTGAGTTACTTCCGCTTCCAATCCATTGCCTTCCCAAATTTCATTACAATGCAAGCTCCCTGAGGGCAGAGATTTGTCTGACTTACTCACTGCCATATCCTAAACTCCTAAAATCTTTCCTAACACACAGTAAGGACTCAATAAATATTAGTTGCATCAAGAGACTTAAATCTGAAACTTGTTGCCGCAAAAATTACTGCCTCCATCCCCGTTAGCAAAGACCAAGGAGCGCTAGAGACCCGGGACCCCAGCCTCGCCGCCGGGATGGGCTGGAGCACCTTCCCAGAGGGGGCGTTCCCACCCAACAAGGCAGGGGAGCTGGGAGGAAACCGAGACCTCCGCACGAGTTAGAAGGGCCAGACACCTACACAGCACCACCTCCCGACACACGCAGGCCGCCACGCAGAACCAACGCACGACGAGAGCCCTCCTCCCCTCCCTCCCCGCCGGTCTTCCTCAGCCAGCCTCCATCCGGGGACCACTTCCGGCGCACGGAGGACGCACGCTAGCGAGAAGAAAAAGGAAACAGGAAGTCATCAGCGTGCTCCGTAGAAATACTACCGGCCAGTACCGAGGGAAACACGCCCCCTTAACTCAGGAGTTCCGGAAGCTTCTTGAGTGGGTGGGTCGACGCCGCCAGGCGCTGAGATTGGCAGGTTTCAAGCTTCTAATGAAATGAAAGGGCCCGGGCCTCCGAACGCAATAATGAAAGCAGAAAAAGAAAGGGGAGTGAGGAAAAGGGCTAGACCGCAAAATTTAAGGGAGCGCAAAAAATTGGTTATTAAAGTTTTTAAATTTTTAATGCAATATTTTAAAAGGTCAAAATGAATGCAAGAAATTTTGTGAGGAACAAAATATGAAAATTTTAATTAAATTGGGGAGCCTAAGGCACAAGGAAAAATGTGCACCCCTGTATACATGTTTTTATGTATTTTTAAATTTTTTTTCCAGACTATTAAAGTAGAAGAAATTTTGAAAATTTAAACAGTGGATGTATTAAAACTCACATTATTTTATGTTTAAATATTTTATTTATGCCAAAGTAAACTGATCAATATTTTCAAAACCTACTTTGCTTACCTTGTTTCAAATGAGAGAATCGCCATGTCACAATTTTTCTTGACCAGGTGACAATCAAATAATTTTAATTAACTTCATCTAACTGATCTTGTCTTTATTTAAAATTCTGGTATTTTGTTCAGCATGAATTTTTTTTATTAGTCTTAATATTTTAAAAATATTGCATTACAGTATCATTAATCTTGATTTCTAGGTTTCTTGAGGCCCCTTAAATTTTGCCTCATTCACCCTAATCCTGGCCCTGGTAAAGCAGGGAGTATGGAGCCCTACAGATTGCAGAATCCAAGCCTGGGGCAGGGAAGGGGCAGCAGCTCCCCTTCCTCTCCATCTCTCAGTGCTGGCCCTGAACAGCTTGTACAGTAGGAAAGGTACCCTCCAGATTGTTCTAACACGCAAATCTCTTCCTCAGGCTCCTAATTAAAACCCTTCAAATGGCTCATTCTTGCCCTTTAGGAATAAAGTCCGAAATACTTAACATGGTTTCCAACTTACACCTTAACCTGCTCCTGAAGATCTGGCTCACTAGTTGGCATATTTCTAGGCCCTTGTCTCCGTTTACTTCCACCTTCGCAATGTTGAGTTCTGCCTTCGGGCCTTGCACAGACGTTAATAATCCCACATCACAACCACTGTGTTACCGTCCATGCCCTCCAATGATTTCCTCTGTAAAAATTCTACTTGCACTTGGATGGCTGAGTCTAGTGAAAAACGAAATTCACTCTTTCCTCCAAAGCCAATTTCCCCCTTCTAAGCTAATCCCACATCACAACCACTGTGTTACCGTCCATGCCCTCCAATGATTTCCTCTGTAAAAATCCTACTTGCACTTGGATGGCTGAGTCTAGTGAAAAACGAAATTCACTCTTTCCTCCAAAGCCAATTTCCCCCTTCTAAGCTCCTTTGTTTAATGGTATTCAAAAGAATTCTCAAATAAGCCTAAAATTAGAAGATTTTTTAAAAATTAAGGACCTGGAGAGTGGCTCAAATGTATTTTTGTATCAGAGAGACCCCTTCAAGAATCTATAATTTACATTTCAATGTGGAAACTCTGAAATCTCTTTGTAGCATACACATATGTAACTTGATCATAGACTTTCCGTAGTTCATCTGTGGACCCAGAGAAGGTCTTCCCAATGCTGAGAACTGGTGACAAGGAGCATTGTGGCTTTAATCAGCTTTAATGCCTGACAGTAGTGGACTAACTCAGGACTCTCATCATTTGCAAAGCTGACTGAGAAAGAAGTCTATGTCATATATGCCCGAGGCCACAAAGTTCCTTTGGCTGTGCTGTTATTTTCCCCTAAAGTAAAAGAGTTTCGGCTACAGGCATCCAGTTATAGAGACCAGGGTTGGCAATGCTTTATCATAAACAGAAAGTCTGGGATAGACAATTTTGCTGTAAAAAACATTTTTTGGAAATTTTAATCAAGCTTTTATTTTACTTTTAAGTATGTTTTTCTAAAGCTTCATGATAACTGTTGGAAAATTACAGCACTTATTACCTAAACTGATTACTAGCATGTATTTTAAAGTGGTTCAAAAGCAATGTTAGCAATAGTTCATAGTTATTAGGTATTATGGCAATTTTTTATTTTAAAAATTAGCCTGACAATTTTTATGTAATTCAAGATTGAAATTATGCTTCCTCTAGAGATAAAAATGCTTAATTGTTCAGAACAAAAGGTTGATATTTGTCTTTCAATATTTATGTTTCTACAACTTTAAATGGTCTCTATAAATAGGTACATGTGTTAGAGCTTAGGCCAGCAGAGAGCAATTATATTTCTCTAAGTCTCAAGATTATCTGTTGGCACCTGAACATCAGTATTAATGTTTGTATTCAGGACACATCTATAGGAAAGTAACATATTTATTTCCTAAACTACAGGAATACCTCAGAGATATTGCGGGGTTTGTTCCAGACTATCACAATAAAGCAAATATCACAATAGAGTCACACAAATTTTTTGGTTTCCAGTGCATATAAAAGTTATGTTTACACTATACTGTAGCCTAAGTGTTTAATATTATATTTTTAAAAACTACATACCTTAGCTTAAAAATATTTTATTGCTAAAAAATGATAACAATCATCTTCAGCAAATCTTTTGGCTGGTGGAGGGTCTTGCCTCCGTGTTGGCAGCTGCTGGCTGATCAGGGTATTGGTTGCTGAAGGTTGGGGTGGCTGTGGCAATTTATTGAAATAAAACAATGAAGTTTGCCACATTGATTGGCTCTTCCTTTCAAGAAAGTTTTGTTTGTAGCATGTGATGCTGTTTAATAGTATTTTAGCCACAGTTGAACTTCTATCAGAATTGGAGTCAGTCCTCTCAAATCCTGCTGCTGCTTTATCAACTAAGTTTATGTAAGATTTTAAATCCTTTGTTGTCATTTAAACAATGTTCACAGCATCTTCACCAGGAGTAGATTCCATCTCAAGAAATCACTTTCTTTGCTCATCCATGAGAAGCAACACCGTATCTGTTAAAGTTTTATGAGATTGCAGCAATTCAGTCACATCTCAGGTTCCAGTTCTAATTCCAGTTCTCTTGCTCTTTCCACCACATCTGCACTTACTTCCTCCACTGAAGTCTTGAGCCCCTTAATGTCATCCATAGAGGTTGGAATCAACTTCAAACTCCCTTGTTGATATGTTTATCTGCTCTCATGAATCACAAATGTTCCTAAGGTGATCTAGAATGGCAAATCCTTTCCAAAGGTTTTCAGTTTACTTTGCCCAGATCCATCAGATGAATCACTATGGATAGCAACTATAGCCTGATGAAATGTATTTCTTAAATAACAGGACTTGAAAGTAGAAATGACTCCTTAATCCATGGACTGCAGAATGCATTGCTACACTTCCCACTGTGTAACGGAGATGAAAAAAGGATTACTCAAAGCACCATGAATGCCATGAGAGGCCCAAGGGGACTGCACGTCAGCAACTCCTCTGTTAGAAGGACAAAACTGGGTGCAGCCCTGATTCAAAGTTAGCTTCTGTATTTTGTTGTAAAGACAAAGTTTCACAAGAAAATTCAGTTGATTCAATCATTACAAAAGGACACAAGGACACAGCAGTGTTACAAAAGTTATCTATGGCTAAGTATAGCTTAAACAATGGAAACTAGTAACATCAGTAAAATTAACAATGTGACATTCCAAAGTACAATTAGTGAAAAGCTAAGTTGGTCAGACTGTCTTATTATCTAAAGTATAACCTCTCCTTAAGCAAAAGTTACATTCTTATTTTTTTTTTTGTCTTTTTCGTGACCGGTAAGGGGATTGCAACCCTTGGCTTGGTGTTGTCCACACTGCGCTCAGCCAGTGAGCACACCAGCCAGCCCTATATAGGATCTGAACCCGCGGCGGGAGCGCTGCTGCGCTCCCAGCACTGCACTCTTCCCGAGTGAGCCACGGGGTCGGCCCAAAAGTTACATTCTTATGATAAAATCTAAGTATAATTATTTCTAAAGTTTCCACTAACACACAGCTTGCCCCTTGCAAACATTTCTTCACATCTTTCTCTTCAGCAATTCTTAAGATCTCTTAACAGAATGGGTATGAAAACCACCTGTTAGCTCTAAAATCATTAAAGTATACAATCCCATACCTAAGCAGTGATTAGAGTTGATTAGGTGGGTTTTTGCCCTCTGGCTATAGGCCATCCCCTCCTACCCAAGGGCTTTTGCCCCATACATGTATTTACCTAAAAATCCTATTCTAAAAATCAAATGAGAATCAAGATTTCTAACCCTCTACAATGAATGTTGTATTAGCAGGCATGAAAAAATTAATCCCCTTGTACATTTCCATCAGAGCTCTTGTTTGACCAGGTGCATTGTCAGTGAGCAGTAACATTTTTTTTTCCCCTTTTTTTTTTGTCTTTTTTTCATGACCGGCAATGGATCGCAACCCTCAGTGTCGCGCCCATACCGGACCAGGACCGGCAACGGGATCGCAACCCTCGGTGTTGCTCCTGCACCTCGCTCAGCCAGTGAGCGGCCAGTCTGTATGTGGGATCCGAACCCTCGGCGGGAGCGCTGCCGCGCTTCCCAAGCGGCGCACTGTAGCAGTGCGCCACCGGGCCGACCCAACAGTAATATTTTGAAAGGAATCTTTTTCTGAGCAGTAGGTCTCAACGGTGGGCTTAACATGTTCAGTAAGCCATGCCATAAACAGATATGCTGTCACACAGGCTCTATCATTTCACAGGGAGAGTGGATTTAACATAATTTTTAAAGGTCTTAGGATTTTCAGAATGATAAATGGCTATTGGCTTCAGCTTAAAGTCACCGGCTGCAATAGCCCCCTATCAAGAGAGTCAGGCTTTGAGGCTTTAAAAGCAGGCATTGACTTCTCTCTAGCTATGAAAGTCCTAAGAGGCATCTTCTTCCAATAGAAGGCTGTTTTGCGTACACTGAAAATCTGTTTGAGTACCACCTTCATCAGTGATCTTAGCTGGATCTCCTAGATAACTTGCTGCAGCTTCTACATCAGCACTTGCTGATTCATCTTACAGTTTTATGTTATGCAGACAGCTTCTTTCAGACTTTTCTTCTGACGCTTCCTCGTTTCTCTCAGCCTTCATAGAACTGAAGAGAGTTAGGGCCTTGCTCTGGATTAGGCTTTGGCTTAAAGAAATGTGGCTTCTATACAGACCACTGAAATTTTCCGTATCAGCAATAAGGCTGTTTCACTTTCTTATTCGTGTGTTCACTGGAGTAGCACTTTTAATTTCCTTCAATAACTTTTCCTTTGCATTCACAATTTGGCTGTTTGGTGCAAGAGGCCTAGCTTTCAGCCTGTCTCAGCTTTTGACATGCTTTCCTTAATCATTTCTAAATTTAATCATTTCTATCTTTTGCTTTAAGATGACATGTTACTCTTTCTTTCACTTGAGTACTTAGAGGCCATTGCAGGGTTATTAATTGGATTAATTTCAATATTATTGTGTCTCAGGGAATAGGGAGGCTTCAGAAGAGAGAGAAAGATAGGGGAACAGCCTGTCAGTGGAGTAATCAGAACACATACAACATTTATCAATTACATTCCCTGTCTTCTATGGGCACAGCTCTTGGTGCCCCCGAACAGTTACAATGGTAACATCAAAGATCACTGATCACAGATTACTATTACAGATGTCATAATGAAAAAGTTTGAAATATTGCAAGAATTACCAAAATGTGACATGGACATGAAATGAGCATGGGCTGTTGAAAAAAAAATGGCACTAATAGACTTGCTCAATGCAGGGTTGCCACAAACCTTCAATTTGTAAAAAATGCACTATGTGCAAAGCACAATAAGACAAGGTATGCCTGTATTTAAATTTAACCTCTTTAATGTTGCCAGCCCAATAATATTAAGGAAATAATTTTGATAACTATTCCCTGAGTTATGTTATGATCTCTGTGCAGGAACAGAACTTACTGAAGCAAGAAGTGAATGTCTAACTGAAATAGAAGGGATGAAATCCCAAGCCCAGCAAAGATCCAGTGCCTTCCACTCTCAATAGTATCTGTGCAGCTACATGCTATTTTGGTGACTTTCTGCTTCCATGAAGCCCAGCAGAAGGAGAGGGATAAATCAATAATCTGGCATCAGGTTTGTTCAGGTATGAAGTTAGGCTCTGAAGAATAGAGAAGGGGCCTGTAGTGGATTAAATAATGTCCCTCCAAAACTCTCTGAAACTTTGTGTCCCCTAAGCTTTATGTGTTAGAAACTTGGCCCCCACTGTGACTGTTAAGAGGGTGGGAAATTCTTTTATGGTAATTGAAAGGTGGAGGCTTGGAGGTGATTTGATTGTAGGACCGTGCACTAGTGAATGGATTAAAAATGGTGGTCAGGGGTGTGGTTCTGAGGGTTTTAAGAGACAAGGAGAGTGTCTCTCTGCTCTCTCTCTCTCTGCTTCCACTGTCTTGCAATGTGAGACCCTGGGTCACTGTTGCCACCACCAAATGGACTTTGGACTTCCCAGCCTCAGAAACTGTGAGCAATAAATTTCATTTTCTTTATAAATCACCCAGTTCAGTGTACTTTGTTATAAGCAACAAAAACAGACCAATACAGGGCCATAACCCTGATAGCGGTAGAGGTCGACGCTGAGAAGTATAACCAAAGACTTCTGGTCTATACATTGCATATGCTTAATTAATAATGTACCTATTTCTAAATCACAAATCGTGGTTGACTTTGCATTGTACTACAAGGGACGTGGCCTGGGGTGTATGTGTGCATGCTGGGGGGAGGTGGCAATAAATTAATTAACCCCATTTTAAAACCTTGAACACAGATTGGTAAATAAAAATGGCAGTGGATTATAACATACTTAAATGCATGGAAAGAATTGCTATTCCAAAGCAGAACCAAGAATGGGATGAGGGCTTTTTAAAACAAAAAACTTAATTAGCTTTTAAAAATAAAGGGAAAAGGGGCTGGCTGGCTAGCTCACCTGGTAGAGTATGGCACTGATAACACCAAGGTCAAGGGATCGGATCCCCCTACCAGCCAACCACAAAAAAAAAAGGAAAATAAAGGCAGCAAAAAAGCCATTAATTATTAACAGATCACCTTCATTAAAGAAGATACCAGTAGAATTTATCAAATACTTTTATGACCAACATTATTTTATAGCAGAGCCTGACCCTTATTAGCTTTTGGATCTGTGAAGCTGGGCCGACAAGACATACCACTGCTGACCTAATACTCTCATCCATTTACTCATAAAACATTGCCAACATAAATTTCTCATTCTTTGTTAGCTACATATTTCAAAGAAGAGTAGTTTACCCACATTTGGCTTTGGACAAGATAAAAACCTTTATTTACAAACATTCTATTCCTTTAAAAATATATACAGAAAAAGGTGTTGGATAAAATATGATAAAATAATAGGAGACAAAGCCATATTCTGATAAAATCCAGAAATTGATGATATCCTTATATCAAACCAATCACAACAGCCACAAGAGGGTCAGGGCAAATAGACAGAGAGAACGGCCACATCAAATTTTCCTGGAACCCTCTACCTCCGGTGTTTTTATGCCACAAGTTAATAACCATCCCAGAAATGTCCAGGTTATATATAGTGTTATTTCTACCCACCTCACATAATGGTGAAGCCATCTACTTAATAAATACACTATCGGAGAAAGGGATTACCACCATCTAGAAAATAAAATAGGAAAAACAGTTGCTCAAAAGACCTGGGAATTTTTAGAAATAGCATCATATAACCTGGCAAGCACTGTTGAAATTCAGGCACATTTTCTTATAAGATGTTACTTCACCTCAAAACCAAAGTTTATTCCTTTCTATGTACAGTGAGAGTCCTGGGGATCCTTGGTGGGGAGTCAGCAAAAGCAACCTCCTGGTCTTCAGGCCGAACCAAGGGCCACTTTCTTTTCTTCTTTCAACTCAGAGGCCCATGCTTTCCCATTATTCACCAAAAAATATAAGTAAATAAGTTGTTGATAGGTGGCATTAGGAAAACAATGGAGAAGAGAAATGGCTGCCAACTACTGTACCTAGCACCATCACTAATAGGACGCCTTAGCAGCTTTTGGATCTTGGCTGTAAATGCTAAATTAGGAGTGGCTTTTGAAATATTTGGGCATTCAAGTAGGTTAATGTTTTCATTTTATGAAAGAAAGGCTGGGACGGTTAATATTTATTTCTAGGGGCCATACGGTAAAAGGCTAAATGGTGTGCAATGATTTCTTATGGGGAAAATTTCCCACAGGTAAAGCTTGAAGACTTCACACTCTTTCTTCCCACCAGGCATTTTGTGCTTCTCGATCCCATGTGGGCCCCAGAGACCCCAGAGTCACCATCCTGGGTGTCTTCCTGTGGGGACTGGGCCTGCTGGGCTTTTCTCAGTTCCCTGCAATGAAAAGGGAAAAGCATAGGTTACTTGATCCCCAATTAAAGATAATACTATGATCGAAACTAACATGTAGTTTTCTCTTTAATATTTACAGAAAAAAAAACTGAACTATATACAGAATAGAAAATTCGCTCTCTACGATTGTCATAAAAAATGGTTGACACAGACATGCCATGTAAGGCACATGGTAGGTTCAGTTTCCCAGATCCTACTGATTGGGGCATAAATGGTCTTAAATTTAAAAAGTTAAGTGAATAACTCTCCACGCTATATATGAAAGCTACAGGGGTCAACAAACCGCAGCTCCTGGGTCAAATCTGGCCTGTCACCTGTCTTTGTAAATAGTCTTGTTGAAACATAGCCTCTCACATATTGTCTGTGGCTGTTTCCACACAACAGCAGCAGCAGAGTTGAGTCACTATAGCAAAGGTCATATGGCCAAAGCATAATAAATTTACTGTTTAGCTCCTTACATAACAAGGTTGCCAACCGCTGGTCTAGACGATTTCAAAATGCCATCTGCCCTGTCTCTGTGATGGGTGCCTGTAGCTGGTACTGAATGATGGCAGTCATTAGGCCCCCATAGCTGGCTTCACAGAATGTACACACCACACCTTAAGAGGTACCTACATTCTTGTAAACATATTTATAACTACTTTGTTAGCTATGACAATGGAATTAAAAACTAGAGCAAAAAAAAAAAAAAATTAAGTGGCTTATTAGGAAAAATTACCTGACTAATGGCTGAAAGTCTCTTGCAACTTATAACCAAGAAATCAGCTTGGGAACTTTTCAAGCTAATCTGTCCAAGACAGATTACATATCCAAGAGAATTGGATTTCTACGCTTATTTTAGGCAAGAACCATTTTTTGTTTCCTTCTTTTGTATTTTCTACAATGCACTGTATATGTAACAATCACTTAAAATGCCTTCAGAATGCTGCTCCAACATCACTGTCTAACCTTCCCCAACCCTACTCCATCTAACTAAATTAATTCTCATTTGTTTAATGAAGGAATAGATTAATAAATGAATATAAGCCTACATGAATAAGATATCAGATTGTTCAGAAAAATACCTCTTCCTCTAAACATGTACCAGGTCAGTATGTCTGCCTGCCTGTGCCTGAAACTTAATGGGTTTCCAAAATAGGTCTCTTCCCACCTTACCTATGGATATATTACATTAGGTGATCACCCAGTTACTTAGATACCTGCTGTCACTCAATCTTAACGTGTTTTTTTTTTTAAACCCAGTTGTATTTCCTTATATTGCTTCCTATGCATTAAATGGAATTTCCTCTCTCAAGTAGCCTAGTCACGAAGCCTCCCAATCCCAGGCTACAAAGGGCCTCATGCTGTCAGTCTCCTTGTGGGCAGGGGCCTATGTATTTAATGTTGAATGTATATAAACTTGAATCCATACAGAAGACACACCGAACCAGTCATACTATTGGGAGTAGTACAACTTTCCCCTCACGGATGTGATGCCACGCAGCACCATTGGCGGGTAACGACTCTGCTCCTGCAGCCACTGCAATCGTTAATCCCAAGGCAAATATGTCTGCTTTGGGAAGGTGCTGGTAATCCTTCAAAACAGAAGACAGGAAGGCCAGTTAGTTTACCAAGCAGAGTGAGTCTAAACTAAAATACAACTGATAGGAGAGGTTCATTTAAATGCATACAAACTCTAAACAGACACTGTGGGCAAGGTTCCATTCACTGCAGTTAGTAGTTTGTTTCTAGAGAAGAGAGAGGGAACACATCTACCTGATTAACCCTGCTGTGCCCTGGAGCACCCAAGGCAGAATCTTTGCACCATTTTGCTATGTTGGGCTCAAAGAAGCTTAGTGTATAATTGGCTGGTCAAAGGAAGAAAACACTCATTTTTTTCCTGATTATCACTAGGAGAAAGTCATACCCTTCCTAGGCTTGACCAAACAGACATCCTTAGATGAGCAATGACTAAAGGTCGTTTCAACTGAGCTGGTGGTGCTATCAGAAGGATAAGAGCATGACAGAGATGAGTTGGGCCAATACGGGCTTGAGGAAAAGGCTTTCTTCCTAGCAGGCAATCCATGACATTAGGAATTCTAAGAAATACTAGAAACAGTAAAGGACCTTTAGAAAGCTTAGTACAAATATTCATTCATCCTTGATTGAACCAGCTTTCCTTTTGCTTTTTGGGAAGAGTTTCTCTCCTATTTTTGGTCTCCATTCTGAATGGGAAAATAAATACTACAAGTTTAAATCATAATTATATACTTTTTATGTTTTGCACTGTGAGCCTTCATTAGAGAGTCAAAAGGTTCAGTGGATTTTTAAACACCCTCCATTTCCCTAATATATACCTCTTGCAAAATTTCATTAGCCAGGAAGCGAATATCTCCTTCTTCCACTTTAGGTTTAGTTATTGATGTCACATGGCCCAAGTCACCTAAAGAGAGAGAGAGAACAGAAAAAATAAAGCTCCTTAAAAGCACTTCTTTCTTAAAACTGGAATAAACTGATTCATCAGCATAATTGTCATAGGATAATAGTACACTGGTAGGAGTAGAAGGCAGGCTCACCAATTTTATACATCACATTGGCAGAGAGAAACCAGTCAGCTTCATTTTCAACCTCTTCTGGGACTCCAGGAGAATCACTTTGTATCTTGTAACAAATGAAGATGTTACCTGACAAAATACAGAATAGACATAAGTAATGATTCCTAAGCTTTTTCACCCCAGAGATTCTTTTCTGTATTTGTTATTTCAGCTTCCCTTCTTTCTTCCTCTGTGTGGACACAGCAAGTCTACCACAGTTTCTGTTTTTCTACGAAGTCTTCCACATCACTTCTGAACAGCCAGTGATTGACAATACCTATTTAAGTTAAACTGACCTCATATATTCCCATCCTCTGAAGAGGCTGGTGGCAGGGTACTATTGCCTCAAAATAGAAAACATAAAATAGTGACATCTTGTCCTTGGGTTTGACATTAATGAGTGATAAAGTCACCCATTTCTGCTCACTTTGATCAGTGCTGAATTAGAAAGAATATAGCACTAGGGGGCCGGCCCCGTGGCTCACTCCGGAGAGTGCGGCGCTGATAGTGCCGAGGCCACGGGTTTGGATCCTATATAGGGATGGCCGGTGCGCTCACTGGCTGAGCGTGGTGCAGACCACACCGTGCCGAGGGTTGTGATCCCCTTACTGGTCAGAAAAAAAAAAAAAAAAGAATATAGCACTAGGCATAAACACAATCAGGATGGGACCAACATGCTGTCACTTATCTATGCAGTAAATTAAATACATAACTTCATTTTTTTGACCTCACTTTATGGTAAAGAGTCTTTTTCCTCCCTGTCCCCTGGGCCCAAGGAAACATGCTGTCACTTATCTATGCAGTAAATTAAATACATAACTTCATTTTTTTGACCTCACTGTATGGTAAAGAGTCTTTTTCCTCCCTGTCCCCTGGGCCCAAGGAGGAAATGATTAAAGCTGTTTAACTGAATTTTTTGTTTTAGGGGAGACAAATGGAAGAGAGAAATTCTGCCAGCAAACACTATCTTCAATACTTGATAGCCACACAGGCACAAATGCTGATGATGGTGTGGAAAGGAGAAAACATGGTAGGAAGAGCAAAAGGGAACCATACTGACTAGGTTTGATGTCCAGGTGCACCATGCCTGAGTTGTGGATGTACTTGAGTCCAAGAGAAATCTGTAGAAGGATGTCCTTGAGTTTTGGCTCCTGGAAATGATTACCAGACTTAATGTTTTCAGAGATAGCAGCTTGCAAGCTCCCACCTAGGAAACAACAGAAAATAGCCCCACAGAATGAGAGAAAAGGTGTAAGTCTTACAGATGAAAGCATCATAAATATTCGGTAAATTTCTCAAGAATTACTTCAGTCCAACAAGTCTAGATTACTTCATTGTTAGTGCAAAGCATAACAATACCTGCCTCTTGTCTATACCAAAGTCACGTTTAAAAGAATTATAGGGCACTTAAAGAGGAAAAGAAAATGCCAGTATCTCAGGTATCCTATATGTGGCTCTACCACCTTGAATATGTGCCAACTAACATTTTTAAGGTTTACCTAATTATTAAACAGAAGGTCAATCAGGCCTATTCATATAGCTAGTATATCTCTAACCCCCTGAAGACCTACAGGTATTTAGTAAGGGCAACCAGACTAGTATTAGCACCACTTTTAAATACCTAGAAGCTCTGTAAATAAGATTAAAGTTAGCAAGTAATTATTAACCATAGAAGTTACTGAAAAGTATTTGTTTACACAAAGGTGTTAGAATATCCTGATTTTGCTATAGCAAAAGGTGATTGTCCACTTCTTATAGAAGAGCATGACTAACAGTTCTTAACTAAAAAGAATAACAGGAAGTATGTGTTGACAGCCACACTGGAGCCTTAACTCTGTAACCTAAAGTACCACCTAGAGATAGCTGCTGTAATTGCAAGCATTGTGCCCTAGGAGGAAACAGCCAGCTCCTGGACAGCTCTTCTCAAACCACCTTTGCAAGGTGGGCTGCTGAGTTCCTCCCTTAAGATAAAATAAGGGCACTTTACCCACTTGGTGGAAAGAAGAAAAATTAGCAATGTATCTATGTTTTCCTCTCTGCTAGTGAGACCTAACGAATACCAAAACGAAGAACTAGCAAATGCCTTCAAACAATAAAATATAAAAAGCAGATCAATAATTCAACAGAATGTTTGGTTCATGTATTTGTATTCTCATAGTCTTCATTTTATGTTGATACCTATAACACAAGCATATTTCTGTTAAGTTGTTGCTTGTTTGTTTGATGGAAAACTTCGACCAATATTCATGGTGTTCCATAGAAGACACTGACTTCTGGATGTCACATCATCCAAACAAGTGTGAAAATCACCATCCTAGGGGAACATGCCTTGTAAATCTTCAGTGACAGAAGTCACAAGAAAATCTTGCCTTTGGGGAGAAATTAATGGCCCAAACCTGACTCAGTTAGAATGCTGGGAGTTGCAGAATCAACCTACTACAGGAGGCCCTTCAGATTTCTGAGGCTGACCCAGAGGTAACTTTTAGGTGATCTTCGCAAGGGTGGGGGTTAGGTAGGGAATACTTGATTGGTTCAGAGCTCAGAGGGACAGTAGGGGAAATGTGATGGCTGCTAGTCTCTAACAGTAGGCATCTAATTATAATCTAAGCTATCTAAATTATCTGTTATAATCTTTATTAAAATCATAATTAAACATGTTCCAGCATCACTGCTATGATGTTAAACCAAAAGAATATTCAGAAAAAAGTATTACTGGTTACTATGTATTATGATCCTGAAGGACCTAGGTGAATATATCTGAAGTAATCAAGTTACAGTCCCAGCTCCCCACTCCATGCCCTTACACAGGTGAGAACACTAAAGCTCAAAGGTAAGAGGCAGCAAGAAGTGTGAACAATCCCCCAACTCTGGAACCCACTTGAACATTCATCAAAAGTTGACTATATACCAAACTAATGCATGATAAAGAATATTTACCCCCTACTTCCCCCAAAATGGTAGTGACTGTAGCTTGTATCATTTAAAATACCCAGAAAATGGTTAAAAAGGTGATTTATTACTTAAAGCACTAAGGCGAAAGTTCTCTAAGTGTGAAGGGAGTGATAACTTATGTATCAGCTGCACAGCAGCTTTGAAAGAAATATAATATGTGCCTGGAAGTTTCCTTTAACTCTTTTCTCCAGCTTTCTACTTCCAAGCAAGACTGCAGTCCAGATTTTTTGGCATGACTCCACTGTACTTGGCATAAACTACGAGGAAGAGGTAAAGTTTATTTCTGAAAATTTATTAAGCTCATCCGCCTCTCAGTAGATATCAGTCCACATACTCACCATTGCAGTATTCATTCTGAATGATCATGTAGTCATCTTCTGCCCATGCAGAGTAGTAACGTACCACGTGGGGGTGATGCCCAAGCACTGCATGAGCATAAACTTCATGCAAAGCCACATTTCTAAAGACAGAAAAGCATTGAGGGGAAATCAATCAAGATAATACATATAAAAATGTTTCTAGAAGATAAGAGATTATTAACAATGGCAGAACATTTATAAAGTTCTGACTGCTTGCTTACTATTTTATCTCATTTAATCTTCAGAGCTACTTGGTAAGATACCATGGGAAAGGATGAAGGCTCTAGGAAGGCTGGCCCAAAGACAAGATGGTAATAGTAGACTTAGGACTAGAACCTTGGTTGGCCTGGTACCAAAGTCCATTTTTTATATGACTGAACATGGCAAATGTAAAGAGGAGTCTTAGGTGGTTACTGCCTCAACAGCAGACACGCTTCAAGTCTTAATTTCACTGTATCACAATTTTAAAATCTTAATGGGCTTAACAAGAAGGCCACAATACAATGAATTATAGATATTGTGATGGGCCCTCTATCTTCTCTATGAAGCGTAGACAACCATTAGAATCAATATTAAACTCAGTATGATATAGTCACAGGGACAGCTTTGGGGAGAGATATGCATTATGGACTAAGAAAGCCTAATACAACAAAAGCAAAATATAGTAATTGATTAACTTTAATATAAAAATGAAGGATTCCAAAGCCTATAATTTCAGATTCAGCATGTTTTTTAATCTTCAGTTCATAAAAAGTATTGGCTGAATCTGAACGTGTGTTTTCCTTGTGATAAAGGAAAAAACTTTGAATTAGTTCTGAGAATGAAAATAAGCTTTTGTTAATAATTTTCCCTTGCATGTAATCTCTTAAGCTTGACTCTTTTTTTTTTTTTTCCTTTTTGTCTTTTTTCATGTCCGGCAACAGATCGCAACCCTCAGTGTCGCGCCCGCACCGGACCGGGACCGGCAACGGGATCGCACCCGGGCCGGCCCTTAAGCTTGACTCTTGATCATGATTAATATGAAGTAGAGATAAACCAGTGAGCAAACAATGACTTCCTACTGGGCCCTATTTCTGATGAACTAAACAGGTACCCAAAGATCATTCCATAAATCTACTCATTTAAAAAAAAAAAAAAAAGCAGGGGGCCGGCCCGGTGGCGCACTGCTATAGTGCGCCGCTTGGGAAGCGCGGCGGCGCTCCCGCCGAGGGTTCGGATCCCACATACAGACCGGTTCCTGCTCACTGGCTGAGCGAGGCGTGGGAGCGACGCCGAGGGTTGCGATCCCGATGCCGGTCCCGGTCTGGTACGGGGGCGACACTGCGGGTTGCGATCCGTTGCCGGACACGGAAAAAGACAAAAAGGAAAAAAAAAAAAAAAAGCAGGGGGCCGGCCCGGTGGCGCCCTGCTATAGTGCGCCGCTTGGGAAGCGCGGCGGCGCTCCCGCCGAGGGTTCGGATCCCACATACAGACCGGTTCCTGCTCACTGGCTGAGCGAGGCGTGGGAGCGACGCCGAGGGTTGCGATCCCGATGCCGGTCCCGGTCTGGTACGGGGGCGACACTGCGGGTTGCGATCCGTTGCCGGACACGGAAAAAGACAAAAAGGAAAAAAAAAAAAAAAAAGCAGTAAGGCCAGTAGTGGGAAGTATAAGCCAAGAGATCCACAACATGATCTGAAATGACTGTTATATTTTAGAAAATAACTTATCTCTGATCTGGAAAATTCAAAAAGGTTATGAATGTGAGACAACATACAAAAGGGGAAGTGATTAAAAAAAGAAAAGCAAATGGTATGATTTTAATGACATCAGTGCTATTATTTATAATATTTTGACGAAAGACAGCTCTCCAAACCCAAGTTTATACCTGTAGTACATTTCAAAAGTACTCACTCATTTGATAATGCTGCAAAAGGTTTTGTAGAGCGCTTTATTGCATAAACACATCCATCCAGCCTCTTAATGCACTTGTAGACTGTACCAAATTCCCCAACCCCAATTTTTTCTAATTCCAAGAATTCTTTTTTATAGCGGGAAGCCATGTTGGTTTCTCGGAGAACACATCTCTAAAATATTTTAATAAAAAGGAAATTAGAATAATTCTTTCTAACATATTGTAAGCAATAAAACTGAGTCATATTACATTCCTAAGCTTCTCTAAGTTTTCAAAAAGACTTTGGAGGCAAATTCTGTGTCAATATTCATGGCAGCAAGAATCTCCCCAATTGTGGACTGCCTTCTCTGTGTTCTTTCTAACCTACCATACAACTCTGTACTGACATTTCTCTTGCATGTTTTTCAATATTCTTTCCTCTATCTGGTCATACTATCCCTCTCTATAAGGGGACCATCTCCTCACACCCAGAGACACAGTCTTCAGCTGAAGGAATGGCTGAAAGCAGGCTGGAGCCTGTTTTGTTTTTTGTTTAAAAAAATAAAATCTCCCTTGACTCTCTTCTCTACCTAGTAAGACTCAAAGTCTGGATGCTAATGTTTCCATTACAAGTTGAATAAACATACTTGTTTTCAATTTGTTTTTTCCAAAAATCTTAGTCGTGAGAACAAAAGTATCAAATTGATTAGTTCAGGGTGTGTGCTCAGGTGAATAGCAACTCCCCCTACAGGCCAACTAGCAACATCACTCATTGCCCAGCAAGTAAATAACCCCAGGCAAATCACTGAACTCCTTTAACAGTTCTCATCTGTAGGATGAGGATCATAGCAAATACTCCTCAGGGTTCTTTAAAGTATTACAAGAGAATATACAATATTTTATTACATATGTTATATGTAATATATATCTTAGTATAATGCCAAGCACATACTAAGTTCTCAGTAAAATATTATGACTGAAATCTCATATCTCACGTAACTTCATATGACTAAATCCAAGCTGATTTATCTTCCGAAGTCATCTTTTTCCAACAACCCAATTAGCAAGAATTTTTCTCTTCTAACTCTAGGAGTTTAAAAATTCTTGACTCTTGCTAGCTTTTCATTTTCAACATCCAGCTCCAATCAGTCTTCATCAGCAAGATCTACAATTTTCATTGCCTTTAGACCAATCTTACACGCTTTCCTCCATGTCTAGATTTGCTATGTCTACCCACCAACTCCTCTAACACTAAGAATTATTATTGCAAAATGATGCCATAGAATCAAAGACACTTAGGTGTTTCCCATGAGAAATTCCAACTTCTGGTAAGAGGCTTCAAGGCCTTCTACCAACTGCAAACCCACTACCTTACCATCTTCATCTCAGATACCACATAATCCAGTTTACCATCAACATCACTCTCCAACCCCTCACCCACCCACCCTACCCCTCTCATATACATATCCCATTCTCCTGCCTTCATGGCATTAAAAGTTATTTCCTTTGCCTAGTATTCTTAGCAATATGCTACCTCTTCTACCCAAGTCTTGCTTCCTACAAAAAAACATTTTTATTAACCCTCCATGTAGACTTTAAATATATACATGTATGAGTATGTATTTACACATCACACAAATGTACAAATACACACACAAATGCATACATCTTGTAGCTTCATGTTTATGTATAGATTGTTTTAAAATTTCAAAGGTCATAGTTCCTCCTGGGCAGTGACTTTCATACAGATTTTTTTTCCTAAATACAATGCTTTGCACATGTTGAATTTAATGAATGTTGCTGGCATCTCTGAAAGCAGGAGATAACTTATAAAAATAAATTAGGAATTCCTAGATATGCTAACTATTCTGATTGGATCATTATAACAATGTATGCATGTATTAAAACAAACTGTATCCCATAAAAATGTATAATGAAAAACATAAGGAAAAAAGTTACACACTAGATATGCTAACTATTCTGATTGGATCATTATAACAATGTATGCATGTATTAAAACAAACTATATCCCATAAAAATGTATAATGAAAAACATAAGGAAAAAAGTTACACACACAAAAAAAAATCAATAAATATTGACACATTTAAGCTAAAATTTTACATATAAATCTCTGGCTCTATGCCATTTTCCTCTGTTCTGTTTTTCCATTTTGAGACCAAAATATCCTGATTTTCTCTTCATTTCTCTACCCCATGAGTATAGAATTTTTCCCCAGATCAAAGGTAAACCTCTTTAAACAGATCAAAACATAAACCATTAATTTAAAAATGTTCTAAGGTAATAATTCAGCAATGTGCATATCAGACCCTGCCTAGCACAGTAACAACTAACCAAGGTGGGGGAAGGGGGTACTGGGAGAGAAAAAGAGGCAAAGGAGAAAGGAAGGGTGTGGGAGCAAAGAGCAAATGCTTTGGGGTCAGACCTGGGTTTAGATCCCAGTTCTGCCACTTACTAACTGTATGACCTAGAGTTACTTAACCTCTCTATGCCTTGGTTTCCTCATTTGAGGATAATAGGTCTAGTGACGGTTTCATATATGTTCTGTTCTTTGTCTTGTCTCCAATTCTCAGCACGTGCTGTTCTACTTGCCTGAAACCCCACTCATTTCCCTTAGCTAGTTCCTACTCATTCCTGGAATCTTAGGAGAGAAGTGGGAAGGAGAGAAGGGGGCACACGAGGAGGGGTGACAGGGGCGGGGAAGGGGCAAGGAGAATAAGATGAAATGCATATGTATGACAACTGGGCCAAAGAACAATGCTTACCTTGGCAGGCAGACCCTGTCCCACCTTGCCTTCCTCTGGACCAGCTTCCTCACTAAAAATAATAAAAAAGAAAAAAGTTAAGTCAACATATGAGTGACACTAATTGAACCTGGTACTGTGATAGGTTCTGAGGTTGAAAGAATAAATAAGATAATTCCTTTCCTTCTTCAACTTATATTTGGGGGAAGGGATAATGAGGACTTTTCAATCCAAGAACCTAGGAGAAGATAAGAACAAGATATCAAGGGATACCCTAAACAGCACCCAATTAATTATGTCAAGAGTGGCTATGGAAGCTCAGATTCCAGGAATGATTAGGACCTAGCCAAGGGAAATGTGTGGGGTTTCAGGCAAGTAGATCATCACATGCTGAGAATGGGAGGCAAGAGAAAGCACAGAACGTATGTAAGACTGTCACTGGGCATATTATCCTCAAAGGAGGAAATAAGGCACAGAGAGGTTAAGTAACTCTAGGTCGTACAATCAGTAAGTGGCAGAACCAGGATTTGAAGCAGGTCTGACCCCAAAGCATTTGCTCTTCACTGCCGCACTACAGTCTCCTTCCCATGCCCACCTCCCCCAGAATCTGGCTCTGTACTCAGTTCACAGGGAGACTAACTATAGCCGAAGGAGCACTAACCCTGGCTAAGATATTTTCAATTACTTTTCAATAAGCTAAAGTCACTGACAAACATCCTCTTTGGCGTGAGTAGTTGTATTCTGGATCCTTAAGCAAGATTTCAATTTCTACATCAGCCAGCTATTGATTTTTCCTTTGAAGAAGTACAGGGTAGAAATGGCAAGTGGGCACTATACTCATGAAAATACCCTGATGCTGGATATTTGTGAATTGTATTTAATACTACATTCTAGTTTTTTATAAAATATCAACACAGTAAACAAGAGAAAAATACTCTTAGAAGCACTAAGTGATGTTACTAAAGTGTCACAACTTTCATTGCTCAGAATTCAAATTATCTGTCTTTTTTTGCTGGCTTCAGTGAGAGGTGAAACCAGTAATTCTTTTTTTTTTTTTTTTTTTTTTTTTAAAGATGACCGGAAAGGGGATTTTAACCCTTGACTTGGTGTTGTCAGCACCACGCTCAGCCAGTGAGCAACCGGCCATCCCTATGTGGGATCCGAACCCGGGGCCTTGGTGTTATCAGCACCGCACTCTCCCGAGTGAGCCACGGGCCGGCCCGAAACCAGTAATTCTGATGGTTTAAGAGAAGATATCAAATGTGCACATCACGAAGAAATGATTAAGTTTTGCAATGAATAGGCTAATTACGCTGAATAGATCAGCACACATTGTATACACGTATTGAAATGTAATTCTGTACCCCATAAATAGGTACGATCAATATGTTTCAATAATTTTTTTTAAAAGATCCCTCAAGAGTGAAAACCAATAGAATTCTTGGTAGCCAAACTAAATGGGTGTACTTGTGCTGAAGTCCAGTTCACTCAAGATTCAGGAGACAGTGTTCAGAAAACCTATTCTGGTCATAGGCTGGTTAATACATTGTCACTGATTCCAAAGAAGCAACTCAACATGACATATTTAATGTTCTGCAAAGTTTAGATTGTTAGCTGATCATTTTTTTTGTTGTTGTTGAGTACATATGAATACAAATGACTGCTCCATTTCAGAGGTGCTTCCACTCTATAAAAAAGCCTTGAGATGACATAGTAAAGAAATGTCCCTAAGTAACATGCATAATCCTTATTTGGATGATTTCTACTATTTAACAGCCTTTGTGGAATAGTGCGGTTTAGCTTACCTTTTTTTTTTTTAGTGCCTCTGAAGGCAACACTATCTTTTTCTCCTCAATCTTCTATCACCCACAGAGAAACTCAAATCCTTGCACTACCGCTCCCATCACCAGTCACATAAGCCAGATGCAAAACACCAAGATTATAGTCTTTGAAGTGTGAACTACACCTTCCTGAACTGCTAGCCTCATCTCAACCCGAGGAGTCCACTTGAATGCAATTTCATAGCCCATCCAACTTCTTAATGGAAGCCAGAAATCTACTGTTTACTCTGTCCTGCTGTTTTATAGAGAAGGCATCTACAGCCCACATCAGAATGGAAAGATGTTAGAATGTCTGTGACAAAGCAGGTTAAAACCAACATTGACATTTAGGGAAGGGGAGACTATGTAAACATTATGTCGATTTCATTCAAATTCTTGTTCCTAATCTTACTTTAATACTCTCCTCTTACCCCTTGACTCTAGTAAGGTAGTTCTCAAAAGTCACAGGCAATAGTATACTTACAGATCTCCCCGGGTTTTCCTCTTGCCACTGGATTGAAAGAGTAATTTTCTATAGGACTCTGGGGTAAAGGGATTAATATTGACCAGAGTTGATGAGGTCTCACTCATGAGGGAAACAGGTGTGAGCCTCAAATGCTTAGATCCTCGGGAGGGGATCTTCCCTGTTGAAGAAGTCACCAGTTGGCTTGGCCAGCTCTGAATAAGAATGATAAAGGGCAAGTCAGAACAGAGTTAGGGAAAAAAAAAGTTATCAGTTAGCTAGTTAATATTTGAACCAAAAGTTGAACCAAAGAATGTTATTGCTGAAAGGGACCTGAGAGATTATCTGGTTCAGTGCAAACTAGTACATCATAACTGGTCCTCTTACGAAAAATATAGCATCCCAGTCTCTACCTCCAGATATTCTGATTCATGAGGTCAACACAGGACACTGTACTTTTGTTAAGCTCCACCCCTCTCCCCTGCACAACTGTGCTAGTTATCTATGAAAGCCACCAATTCTAGTCCTGCCTCCAACTTTTAAAGATGAGGACATTTAAGTTTAGACAAACAAAAATGACTCACTAGAAAACCTGGTCCTTATGTTTTCACAGTTTATACTTTAACTTCCCCTCAATTATTCATCTAAATATTTGGTACCTACTAAGTAGTAGACGTAGGCCAGATGCTGAGGGGTACAAAGATGAATTCTAGCTCTTAAGGAATACGTAGTCTGTGAATCAGCAGTTCAATGTTTTAGAAATAATTACTTTGTAAGGGAAAGATTTCATAGACTATCTAAACATGAAAAAAAAGTTTTCAATTTCACTTAAAATATAGCATTAAATGAGAAGAGTTCCATGAAGTAGGGTAAAGGTTGAAAAATAGTACTCTAAAATAAGCCCTTAAGATTCAGGGCTTTGCAGTGGCTATAACAAGCTACCAATAAACAGGAAAATGTGCAGGACTTACTATTCCAAGAGGGGTACAGCAAGAGGACATAGGCCTAAACCTAACCAGAAGTAAACCAAGGAGCAAGGTGAAAGGCCAAAGACAAAGATTCTCAGACTGCAGAATGCCATTATGACCTAAGTGTCAGCAGCCAAAGGAATACCTGTGTTATAGATCTTCAAGAGTACAGTAGCATACACAGGGGGCATGATGGAAACTCACAGTATAGTGATTGCACCGTGAGGATCTTTCTAAAAGAATTCTACTGTTTTGATAGTTTCTGCCCATGACTTTTCAGTGTAGAAATAAAAGCAAGACCACAATGTGATTCGTTAAAGAATGTGTCTAAGAAAATATTGGATTTATTATAAGTAATAAATAATTGATGTAAGCCGAAATGAAGGAAGCTATCAAGTATACACCACAACCTAACTTCTTTTCAAGTGAAGAAAAATATGTAATTTCCAGATTCAAGGGTTTTATAATGGCTTTATATATGTCTTAGAGTTCAACAGCTTTGGGATCTCTGGTCAGACAAAGCCCTCACTGACAAACACGATTTCCCTGTAAGTTAATCATGAGGACTGAGCATTGGTTCAAATTAAGAAGAAATGCTAGATTGTAAGCTCTTGGAGGGCAGGGACTGACTTATTCCTTACCCACAGTGGGTTCTCAGAAAATAAATGGACGATTGATTGGTTGGTATCAGGGCCATTGAAAAACCTGCGAATGAATACTCAAGCATGTTAGTTTGTCTACAGTTCAGAAAAGAAACTTAGTATTTCCTGGTAGACATGGTACCCATACTCAGCAGGTACCAAGGAGATCCACTGACAGCGACGGTGCTGCAACCAGGATCAGAGACATTAGGATGATGACCATAAGTGCCTCAAAAAGAAACTTAGTATTTCCTGGTAGACATGGTACCCATACTCAGCAGGTACCAAGGAGATCCGCTGACAGCGACGGTGCTGCAACCAGGATCAGAGACATTAGGATGATGACCATAAGTGCCTCAGGCTGAGCCAGCTGGACACAGAGCTAATACCAATCCCAGGGATCACACACCACGTCAAAGGCTATAGAGGTAACCCCGCCCCAACCCTAACTATAATAATGTGAATGATGTAATAGGAGACCAATCGCAGCAAGGATAAAGGAATATGCTAACTATTAGGGACCTTTGCTTATTTGCCATCCTCAGTTTATAAAGTGCCAAAACGTTACCTTTTTGTTCACATAATAAAAGGCCCTGTATTTCACTAGACCAGGGAGGGAAGAAGGGTTCCTTCTGTGAAGAGCAGTGGACAAAGAGATGAACATGTTCAGCCAGTGAAAGTGAATATTCTTATATTAGGAAATATTAGTAAGTAATTGCACAAAAATAGAGCTAGTTAGCATAATAGAAATAACAAAAGACTAAGCCCAAAAGATCAGGTTTCTAGTCTTACCTCTGCCATTGACTGAGCTATAAACCAGTTTCTCTCTTGAGACCTTGATTTGCTCATTCGTAAAGTACACAGGCTGGACTCCATCCCCATATTCCTTCCAGTTTCAATATTCTTTAACTAGGAATTTTTTCCCACCCAAGATTTATTTGTGGCTAATACCAAATAGTTACTGGCCCCAGTGACTTAAGAAGACAACTGGCAAGACATTTAATTCTATCTGTTTTCTGTGAACTTTAAACTCTTATTCACCTTTACCAATAAATATGTAATTGAGGATATATACAGCATGTAAGGCAAATCCATCATATATACATTAATGACTGCATCCTCTTTCTCTATCATCTGAACTGAATGAAAACAGACCTTGGTGACCCGGGTCCCTCTGTCCCCACAACTTACTTTGGGAGTACAGGGGCCGTCACCGTGCACCTGCTCGCTGCTGCTGCCTGGTTGTTCTGGTGTCTCAGGGCGTTTGAGAGGATCTGACACTGGAGTCCTCAAAATCTGATCTGGACTTCCTTTGTCTTCTTCCTGAGATGTGTCGAGTTCACGTATGTTACCAAGGGGAGTCCTGGACAGTGTAAACTTTGCCTCTGAATCCTGAGCTTCACACTTCTCTGGGGTTTGGCTCTGGGCTTCCCCACCCTCCTGTGCTTTCTTCCGCTCTTCATCCTCAGTCTGTTCTTCGCAGTGGAAAAAGCTTAATTTCTGCCTCAGTTCTTTGTTAATATCTTTGTCATCCATCTCAGCCAAAGATCTTTACAACACAGGCAAGAAGGTCTGCCAGTAAGAGAACACTGTGAATCTATAGGAGGAGAAAAGAACTTCAACTAGCAAGTTCCAAACTCTAGCCTGCCTGTCCCTCTACCAACAGCTACAAGAATTAACACACTCTTAATTTTCTCCCTTAAGTACCACAAATCTGTAAGACCTCAGCTTAACCTTGTTTCTATTCTGATTAAAGAAAGCTCTGGTAACTCTTTGAGCAATTAAATCCCATTTATGTTTAGAGCTGTTCTGGATACCCCTGGCAATCTCCCTGAACCCATGTGCTACAAGATATAAGTGAGATAGTTGGATTTATTTAATTTAGCATGGCTTTAAAATACCAATAAGCCAATTTAGGAAAAAGCTCATTACTGGGAAGAAATTATTTTCACTCTTTCCACCTGCCATTTGTAGGATCACCTTCTGCTCTCTTCTGACCCCACCCACCCAATGGCTACCAGCAGGTAATTAGAATTTAGCATCACCTGGATATCGTAACTACCTTTAAACAGCCTCTAACATATCTTGGCAGAAGTTCGTATCCCTGATAGAGACACACCTCAGATCTTGCCAAACACACCTGCCCTAATTCAGGCACCTTCCCTCCCTCCTCCAGGTATTAGCAGTTAAAGCTTCTAGGGAATTGAACAAAAATTTAAACTGTGTGGAAAGATCAGTAACACGTAGAAGCAGATATTAATCACTCCAAAATGGCAATTGCTTTTGCTTAAAATACCATATTTTGTAAGATGTTTTACTATCTAGTTATTTTTAGTATACATTATTTAATTTCTTACTCATAGAGGTCCCATGCAAAGGGCAAAAAAAACTCTTTGAAGAAAAAAACCAAATTACCATACAAGGCAATAATCCCTCTTCTGGGTATACACCCAAAGGAAATGAAATCACTATTGCAAAGAGATATCTGCACCCCATTTTAATTGTATTACTATTCACAATAGCCAAAATATGGAAACCAACTCAGTGTCCATCAGTGAATGAATGGGTAAAGAAAATGTGTTATATATACAATATAATACAATATACAATATAATACACAATATTATTCAGCCATAAAAAAGGAATTCCTGTCATTTGTGACAACATGGATAAACCTGGAGAATACTATGTTAAGTAAAATAAGCCAGACACAGAAAGACAGATACTGTATGATTTCTCTTATACATAGACTCTAAGAATGTTGAACTCTTAGAAGCAGAGAGCAGAATAGTGGTTGCCAGGGGCTGGGGAGATATTGGCCAAAGGGTACAAACTTTCAATTACAAGATGAACAAGTTCGAGAGATATGATGTACAGCATAGGAGGTGATGGATGTTTTAATTAATTTGACCTGGTAGTCCTTACACAATGCATATGTATACCAAAGAAAAAAAAAAAGAAAAAAGAACCCAACTGATATCACTTTACAGGAGAAAACCATGTGAAAGGCAGGCCGTGAAAAAAGAAAATGACAGGCACGAGCTTCTCAGTGCCCTTAGGGAGGCTCTGGGGGGACCCGACATGGGGAATTATTTACAAGATAAACATGGACCCAGAGAGAGGGACACTGAGAAACCAAGGTGAAAAAAGAAAATGACAGGCACGAGCTTCTCAGTGCCCTTAGGGAGGCTCTGGGGGGACCTGACATGGGGAATTATTTACAAGATAAACATGGACCCAGAGAGAGGGACACTGAGAAACCAAGGCAGCTTGATGCGTATGAAAAAAAATTTATTTCCCTTCTACCTACAGTCTTTGCTGTACCCATTGCCTGTCACCTCTTCTGTTCTTCTCTCTTCCCCGAATCTTGCATGACTTTCTCCTCTGAACTCCTGAAGAGAGTAATCCAAATGAAAACTCACTGGAGAAACATGGAAGTGTTTTTTTCAGCTAAAAGCCTTCTCATGCTCCAGCACTTTGAGGGGGGGCGGTGCACCACTGAATCCTTCCTTGGCCCTTCCCCACCCCCTCCCACCCATACGGACTGTCCGAGATAATTCAACAGGGGATGAAACATTGCTCACAGCATGCAGTAACTCACTGCACACCTTCATCAGAGATTCACCATCCTATGGTACAGGGGCCAAGAAAAATAGTCATCAAAAGGAAAAGAGGACTCGAAGTTACTGGTAAAGAAATTACTATCAACTGAGATTCTGGGCCTGGGAGTGAATTTCTTGTTCACAAATCAGCAGGCCAGGTGATGTGATTCCTTTCCTGCAGCCTTGGTGGTGATCAGTTTCTCGCTTCTATTTCATGCTTGTCCTGTCTGCCTCTCCAGGCCAGCTGAAGGCTGGCTTTGCTCTCAACAGAGCAGGACCTGACCCCAAGCACTGAGTGTATCACCAGCCTAGAGGCAGAGCACAGGAGCTGGTTTAGAGGGTGTTACCCAGGTAGACCAGGCTATTTTTTTTACCGTCACTCCCTGCCTGCCTCTCTCCCTTAATGGGATTCTCAATTACCCTTGTTTATGACTACATTGTTTGCCTAGGGAGGCAACCATGCCATTGTGGTGGCCTAGGCCTCATGCTGTCAACACTGATTCTATTAGAAACTTGCACCATTTATCTTTCCATATATTGTCATTCAGAAGATGATTGTGGCTAAGCTTTCAGAATAAGAAGGATATAATAAGTACAAATAAGATATTCTAGAACTGGAAAATACAATAACAAGAACTGCACGGTGGCTGACCTTAACGACTCAAGGGGATCCCTGGCCCATGGCCTTACTATTTTTGTTGTCACGCTTTTCTGTTTTCTTCATTCTTAGCCTCTTCACATTATGAAAAACTCCATCTTTTCTTCAGTGCATGTTAATACCACAGGCATCCATCGCAGGCACAAATCTGCTCATCACAGTTGAGATGACAGGTCAAAAGTGGAACCCATGTCATCTATGGCAATAAGAGGACAAGGGCAGGGTTTTCCCCTTAATGCCTGATACGCAGTGGGTGTTCAAAAAATCAGTTTTGGATGGATTTGGGGAAATAAGTTAATATATCTCAGTTGTGTTTAAAATAATTCTGTATTTGACTTTTTGAAAGGTTTGAATGTTTTTCTTATTGTAACAGGAGTTGCTGCACAGGAGGAAAGTAAGTTTCCCAGGAGTAAGAATTGCAAGAAGGAAGCCAACCTTGCATCTCAGGGCCAAGTTCCCTAAACCATGTGCTCGGGGGAAGCTCTCCTCCTGCAGACACACTGCTGAGTGCTGAGGAAGCTCCTAGGCTCCACTCTGACAAAATCTTGGTTCTGAGGCCTTTGAAATACTGATGGGAAGAACAGAAGCAGGAAAATTTAGCTATTTAAATTAATTCTGCAAGAGGTGGAAAATTGTATCACCTTTGGGGTAGAATCTTCCTTTGCAAAAGTAAAACTGAGGCCATGGAAAATGAGATATTTATTTGAGAGTCTGTCAGTACAAGGAAGGACCTGCTGGCCTGACTGTCCCCTCAGTCAGGAGGGAGAATTGTAAAAAATACTTGAATGGACCAGAATGAAGCTGTATCACATTATTCATTTAAGACTGAACTGACTAAGTCATTCAAACTCTGGAAAAATGGTGATGTTAGAGAATCATATATTTGATGGGACTGCCCCATGGAAACCACTGGGAGGTCTGCTTTCTCAAGCAAGAAATGGACTTTTTCAGTGTCAATCTTTCTGGGAAGCTGGCAGATTCCAAGACAGGAATTATCTTTATTTAGGAAAAGAGCTTAAGCTGGAAGTAACTCTCTGGGCCTCCATACTTTTGGGCATGGACTCTGAAGACCAGAAACAAACTTAAGAGAACCCCAGGCTGGTGGAGAGAAAAGGTTGGCCTTTATCACCAGAATGTGCCCTGTAAAAGTAGCAAAGCAGCAAGCAAGGTTCCTAGACAAGGGCCCATCGGCCTTGTGGAAACAGGGAGGAGTCATCTACAATTCACTGATGAATAAGAAGGCTAGGCAATGATATCTTTAAGGTCCTGCCAGCTTCAACATTGTATGCTTCCTGTCCTTACCTTGTTTAATCTCCTTATCACAACTCCAAGTGTTGCATCAGTTGCACAAGGGAAAGTTTGCAGTGACTTGGGGAAAACAGAATATTTTCATTAGCAACATATGTTCACCAGCTCCCTGGACAAGTCCATCAGCAGCAGTGACACTGAGCAGTGCAGATTGGTGCAGCTGAACTGGACATGGATCCATAGAAACATGGGTCTCAGGTGCTCCTAACTCTTAACAGTTCTCTTCCTGTAACAGGGCAGTCCACAAAGCCAAGAGCCTTGAAGGGGACCTTCTGATCTCCTCCCCTCCTGCCAAGAGAACGCACAGACACAGCCACAGTGAATCCAATGATAATTATATAAATCATTAACAATACTTAATATTTGTCCATCACATTCTTATTTCTAAGGGCTTGTAAAGCCATATCTAGTGAATAGCATTGCCAGCAGAACAGAATTTCAAGGAAAGATTATGGGCTGGGTAAAATAAACCTGGTCATTTTAAAGCCTAGAAATCTATCATTAATACTTTTCTTCTTTTTGTTTAACTTTTTCTTATGAAAATGTTCAAACGTGCCAAAAATAGGGAAAATAGTATAGTGAGTCCCAATGTACCCATAACCTAGCTTCAAATATTATGCACAGTTTTACAATCTCATTTTATTTATACCTGCAACTTTGGGGGTGGATTTGGGGTATTTTAGAGCAAATCAGTAATAACACATCATTTCAGCTTTACCTGTGAATACTTTGGTGCCGTTAGTAAAAATCCCTAGGTTAATCTATTAATTTTAAGACTATTATAAATCTACCTGATGAATAAATCAAACAGATTTTAATTGCTTTTCTTGTCAAAGTTTCCCATTTGCTAGAACTATCCATCAAAATAGCTGTTATAGAAGAGACATACTACTTGTCTACCCACAAGACATAAAATTCTTAGAACAGGAATAGATATCTGACCTGACATCCCAATAATTTAGAGAATAGACCAGAATAGGAGAAAGCTCTGCA